CAGCTGTCTTCCTCTTCCGTTTTTTTCCTCGATACGTAAAGTAAAGGCTGCAGCACCTTTGACAACTCGAATCGTTTGCTGTGAAAGCATATAACTCTAACCACGCAGAATTAAACCCTCTGTGTTCCTCCGATACTTTTATTTTCTTTGATTTATCCATAGTTCGCTCATCGAGCCGGGGGTCAGGCTATTCACCTGCAAGAAAAGGCGCTGGTGCGGGACCGTAGCAGGATGTGACGCATCTTTTAGTTGACTTAATTAAAACCGTTTTGTTTTTTATTTATGTGTCACAGTATCATCTCAAAATACGAAACATTTTCAACCGTGCAACAACATTTAAATAGTCCTACAAATACTTTTATTTGATTTCCTTCTTATTTTTGTCTAAGCTCAAGGGAGCCAGAGCAGAGGGCTTAAAGAGCTGCATGCGGCTCGAGAGCCGCGGGTTGCCGACCCCTGGACTAGTGGAACAATCCGAGCAGATATCCAAAATAATAAAAACTGCTAGCATGTTCGAGGGGCTGATCAAAATATATTTTAGAGCGGACAGGGCTACCCTGAATGTTGAGAGAACCAGAACTCAGCCCCAAACTACAATTCAAGCCAGGACTGGGATCCACCTGCGGCACATAGTTCTGACCCAATGAAGACCTCCCACCACACTGAGACAAAACATGTCCACATCCAGTAATAAACATAATAGGACAATAGAGGCAATGTAGCTTACGTCTTCGAATGCCCTATCTTTACCACTATGGGACTTGTACCTGTTCTCACATGCCCCTCAATGGAGACAGATTTGGGCAAAGTATAGGCAAAATACTTAGTAGGTTTCTAATCTGTTTCTGATTATAAAATTCAGAGCTATTCTTAAAAGTTTGGCAGGGTTGTCGGACATTAATGAGTGAAGTACTGTAAGTTGCACATTTAAGGCACAAAATAGTGAACCGGGATACTTCAGAGTAAAAGAAAGGTTGAATTTCCGTGAAAATGTTTTGCAAGGGAGCCAAAGAACTGGGAAGCTGTAAGTAAATCATTTGAATAGAGCCACCAATTGCTCCCTAACCCTAACCCTAATAACGATATCGAGGTATTTGGTCAAAAGTATTGTGATGTTTAATTTGTTCAATATCGTCCAGCTCTGGTGTGAGGGCGCACACTCTCTGAGTCACATTTCAGCATAGAGACAGAAGGGAAGTGGGCCAACTCTTTCCTAACTCATTTCATCTTTATAGGCCAGAAATATAAACAATTATCTTATATCTTCAAACACAAAGCATACGTGTTAAATAAAACAAGTTTAAAAATAGTTCGTGAAAACATGACCGTCCACATAGTCTTTGATGGAAGAGACTATTCATGTTCTGCATCTAGAGACTTTATATAAGTCACATTGTAACAAAGTTAATTAAATGATTAATTAGTTAAAAATATATAATACATAATATGAATATGTAATTCAATACAGTATGTAGAAAAATACATTGATGTCAGGATACATCTTTTACTGGTCTGGTGATAGGAAAATAACAGCCCTTTTTCTATATGATCCCATCTATTTCCCAGGCCTAATGAACTCTTCAAGAAAACCACAGCGTGTTTGTTTTTGCTTTACTTACTAAAAGGGTTTCACGCCTTGCCTCTTGTAGTGGGTTATCTGAGAACACATCATGGCTCAGATATATTTTGTAATAAAAGCAGAAAGAAAATGTGAAAGTGGTGAAAATTGATCTAGTCACTGTATCATGATAGAATGTTTGCAGAATTAAATTGGTTATTGTTTTCTTATTTTGTCTTGCCCTTCTTTAGCTTGTGTATGATTGGACCAGCAAACTCACTGACCTCAGAGAATAAACTCAGTGTTTCTGTCCTTTATGACCATTATTATAACACTACAAAACAAAAGATTGTCATGGGGTGAAGTTTTAAAACAATGGTTCTCATTTTATTAATAGTAATTGGGTAATCGACCTTAGTTCGAATTGTTATTTTTGTTATTTTCTTCTATATTTTGGCTATTTGTGTTTATGTAGAGTTGCTCATGTGGTCAGTTATATTCCCTGTTAAACCTTAATTTAGATAACCTTTTCACCAGGGTATAAAGGGCTTACCTATTCTACTTGTATTTGTAGTCTGCAAGCTTTATTTGGGTGTTTGTGCATGGCATCACCGTTTTGGACCTACATAATGTGATGGCATTATAAGTTAAACCCCTATTACTGTCTTACTGCTCAATAGTAGTATTAACAAACCAAGGTAGTGGGTGAGTGGGGGGTTTTAGAGTTGATACTACAATAGAAACATCCCAAGCTCCATGTTCAACAATCTCTCAAAACCACCACTGAACCAACAATCTATTAACTTTGTACTACTGCATCAAACACATTTTTAACCAGGAGATTCCCACATTATCAACATAGTATCCCATACAAGCATGTACAAATGCATCAGTCCAGAGATGGAGTACTCGAGTCCTGGACTCGGACTCGAGTCGGACTCGAGTGCCGATTTTCGGGACTCGTGACTCGAGTCGCGCACTGATTGACGCGACTCGGACTTGGACTCGTGAATTCTCGCGCACGATGACTTGGACTCGGACTCGGACTCGTGAATTATCGCGTACACTGACTTGGACTCGGACTCGTGAATTTTCCCCCCCACGATGACTCGGACTCGACTTGTACATTGACGCTCCGACTTGGACTCGGACTCGAGCAAGTTTTCTATGAAGTCTGATGTCCTCTATCCTGGCGTGTGCACCTGCTGCGAGGCGAGTTCACGTACTGGGCCCCGCTATTCCAGTCTAAAGATGTCTAGAGACACACCCCGCATCGTGCTGTATGCTTTCACACATTCTGCTTCCACATTGGAAAAGAGCAGCACAAAATGCTCGTTATGTGGAAACAATATTGAAGAGAAGGCTCCGTAACACATTACTCTAAACATCGAGTTCAGACATATAGGCTGTCTTGAACACTATCATCAGAGTAACGTGATCTAATCAATAAATAAAGATTCAGCCGATAACACGAAAGCACATGGCTACTTAACATGCAGAATGACGTCATTTTGCATGCTAAGTAGCCATGTGCTTTCTGGGGCTAAATCTTCATCAGTAAACCGATTTAACCGGTAAAAGTTCCTTCAAAATAAGGGTCCCGATCTTATTACTATCAAAATAAAAGTGCAAAACGAAAACTTTACCATAGGAAAATATTGGCATACAAATATAATCACTTCTCTAAAAGGTAACTAATTTTAAATATAGTTTATTTATATATAATAATAATATTAATATTAGTAATAAGCTTTATATTTGTATAGCACCTATTACAAGAATTGTAGCCAAACTGGCTTCACAGCAGTTCAATAGATAGATTAGTATAACATGACAGGATAAAAGCAATGTAGAGGAGCAGCTACATTTCAACACATATATCCACGAAGATTAATACATGAAGACTTGTGACTCGGACTTGACTTGGACTCTTCTTAGGTGACTCGGACTTGGACTCAGACTCGAACACAGGTAATGATGACTCGGACTCGGACTCGACTCGGACACTCCTTGGGTGACTCGGACTTGGACTCGGACTCGAACACAGGTAATGATGACTCGGACTCGGACTCGACTCGGACACTCCTTGGGTGACTCGGACTTGGACTCGGACTCGACTACGACTCTCCCTTGGTGACTCGGACTTGGACTCGGACTCGAACACAGGTAATGATGACTCGGACTCGACTCGGACACTCCTTGGGTGACTCGGACTTGGACTCGAACACAGGTAATGATGACTCGGACTCGGACTCGACTCGGACACTCCTTGGGTGACTCGGACTTGGACTCGGACTCGAAGAGTGGTGACTCGAGAGTGACTTGGACTCGTGAATTGGTGACTTGACTACAACACTGCATCAGTCTAATGTTACTGTAAACTGCCCTGAATATTAGTCACTCACAAATATGTGGTTGAACTATTGAATCTTCATATTACCCAAAGGGTTTGTTTCCACTCTACAATGCACATTTGAACACATGGCCATAATGAATCAGGAAGACGGTAGCATTTCCTCTCGGTGGAATTCAGTTTCACTCTCAAAAGCTTAAAACCAGTTCACCATCAATTAAGCTAGAGAAAGCAAGATCAAAAAGAGGAAATTGTAATAAAACTCTAAACTCAAAATATGAGTGGGCAATGAAAATAACAGTTACATACTACATTATAGAATACATGCTTGCTTACTATGGATATATGCTTCATGGACCACTGATCATTAGATCTTATGAATGATGATTGAGAATTTCTGCCAGAAAACAGATGTTGGCGTTTTCTCATATCAGGCCTTAATTATGTACAGTAGCACAAAAGATGTTGGCATACAGTATGCTACTGTAGTAGTGATACACGCCAAGGATGATTCATTTGAAAACACACTCATAACCTTTACCCTAGATATTCGTTAAAACACTAATATTTTTAAAGCTTTTTTTTACTTTGACATTTCATTTCTGAATAGTTTTGTATTCAGACCATATAACAACCTAAAAAGGGCTTCATATAGGGGTCAGGGTTGAGGTCATTTAAATTAAGATCTGTAACAATATTGTATAATATTGTATTCTATTCAGAATTCCCGAATTAACCGGAAATGTTCAATGAGCCACTGTTCCCACCACCTCTCTGCAAAGATCAATAGCATTCCTGGCTATGCTATGTCACAAAGGCTTCTGGGATGACACCCAGATCCAACTCCTAAATCATAAATCATTCATCACCGTCAGGTTCAGGGAATAGAAGCAGTCAGAGAGGAAGGCAGATTGCTGACCTTTCTCTGCTGGGTAGAGATAAAGTAGTCGCAAAAATCAGTGTGTTTCAGTGCAATTTCCAACGTTCTAGTCAAAGTATTTTGTATTGCTGGACTATATCAATGTCATTACCTCTTACCCTCATTCTGATTGTGTCTCTACCTCTTCATTTTGTTCTCAACTTCCTCAGAATATGACTTGAAGATGAGCTGTCCTCAGGCTGAGTTAGAGGAGAAGGACTGCCCTCAACCAGAGGAATTAGAGTGTAAAATCTGTTACCAACGCTACAATGCCCACAACCGCAAGCCTAAGATCCTGGACTGCCTTCACCGGGTCTGTGCCCGCTGCCTCGGTAAAATCCTGGACATTGCTGATGGGGCGGCCTTCATCTCATGCCCCTTTTGCCGACACCAGACTGAGATCACAGAATACGAGGTGTCAGCCCTCCCTGACGATGTTATCATCATGTCCCACTTGGCGATGCGGGACAAATCCTGGAGTTCCGACCATAAGGAGGTGGTCCTGACTCCTACGAGTTTCTCCTCATCAAGCCCGTCCCATGACTCATCAAACTGCCTGGTCATCACTATAATGGAAGTGCAGAGGGACTTGCAGCACTCCCCAAGTCGAAATGGCAGCTCCGACGTCTATGCCGAGCAGAGCCTGGACTCCGTATCAATGGGCTCCAATGGACCGGCTGAACAGGACGCCCTGTCTAAGTTGTGTAATCATGTCCCACGTATCCTGGTCTGGCTGCTGGGTTTCTTATACTTTGGCTCACTGCCTCTAGGAATCTATTTATTGGTGATCCAGAGAGTGACCCTGGGCATTGTATGTGTTAGCCTGGTGCCATCAAGCCTGACAGTTTGTCTGGTCTATGGGTTCTGCCAGTGTCTGTGCCAGGGCATGTGTGACTGCTCCACCAGGGGCTGATAGGATGCTACTCAAGAACTGGTGTTTGTAGGATGGAATAATGTCAGCTCCAGGTATTTTGTGTGTTTTGTGAACAGATAGGGGGCCTTTATGTAAATATGATGCCCTTTCCTAAACATACTTTTCATGCCTAACAGTACATTTTGTTCATGCAAATAATGGGCCAGTAAAGAGACCCAATGCCGCCTTTAGCATTGGACCGTGCTTTTGTTTGTTAGTTGAGCACTGCAACTCAAAAACAGTTTGGCCAACAGGAACATAGCTCCTTGCAAGCTGTGTTCGTACATAGGAGTAGTGCCTGTAGGTAGATTTCTGTGATGTATTTCTGTAATCTTTATTTGTATTGTGCTGTGTGTATTAGTCAAACATTACGTTTGAGAGCAGACCTTTAACCTTTGACTCGCATAACAACAGCAGTTACAGAGTCCTGGGCCCTCATTTATCAACATTGAATCAAAGGAATTCTAGAAAGTTATCCTTTTAAAATAATACATGGGATAACATTTGACAGACAGAATATTTAATTGTGATCAGTTCATTTAAACTATATTTAAGCAAGGTAGAAAATTGTAGGTTCCCAATAACAAAAGAGGAGGAAAAAACAAAGTCCACTTAAAATATTGCACATATAATATTTTGTATTGTTCACTTTTATTTCTAATTTAGCATTAAAGGTAGAACCACAGGTTACCAAATGTCTTCTCTCTGTTAAAGCTAAACGTAATTAAAAGTTGAAAGTATGTCATATTGTGATGCCTTGCCATCAGCTTCTAGAAATGTAGAAGAAGCATTGGTACACTGATATCTTGAGGGTTTAAAAGGTATCAGTCTGTTGAACCTGTTGATATAACTCTGCAACCTCTCTATTTTCTGGTTTGGGCATATGTAATAAACAAGTCATGAATTAGCATTCGCAAGAATAGCGACTTTCTAAATTCTGTGTGATATTACAAGTAATACTACAGGAAGAGACTAAGCATTGTACCGGATTAGCAAGGAAATAAATTCGACCTATATGCTATAAGGCCTTGATACAAATTAACAAATCAAATGAATTGGCTGTAATGTTTTGTTGGTACACGTTTTACTGCCACAGCATTGCCTTTGGGCTAACATGTCCGAGTTATTAGCATTGGTAATTGAATGTGGCCCATTTCTTTTCTCTCTCTCTGCCACAAATACAGACTCGCACCATTCAGGGTTGTTATGTTGATATGTGGTTCTTGTGAGGCATAAACCAGACTCATATCTCAGGTGTTTTGATACTCATTCAATGTTAAGCAACATACTTTCCATTCATTTCCTTGATAGGTTGAATGTTATAAAGTATTTTTCAGTTATATTTTGCAGTACAGGTTGTACAAATCTTTGGTTGGGCTTATGGCTAAGGAGTCCTCTGTTACCGTTATGCAGTAAGTCACATGCACATAGTGCCATACTATAGCCATGTGGATTTGTTGTTGTTTGACACCTCAAGGTTGTGTGCATTATTTATGTGGCATCTTGGTTTTCTTTTGCTTGTAAGGCAAACACTGTCAAACAATCATTCTGGCATATGGAAGTCTGGTAGAAAGGTCACATCAAACCATGATGTTAGCTTGACAATTACTAAAAATACATTTTAAACGTAACCTAAAATATTTAGTTAAGTTTTTCACATGTATATAGTCAAATAAACTGCAATTTCTTTAAATTAATCTGGTTAATCTTCAAGCTTCTCATGTGTGTAACAAAACATTTTTCTTATAGCTCTGAAACCAAAACATACATTTTAGTGTTTCAGGAATTTGTGTTGTAAGACGTCATGAACTGCTGCAGTTGTACCACTCTTTGTGACATCTGCAGCACTACTTCAAAGAAAGATTCGACTATAAATTGAGTGTTTCATAATGAACAGTTAGTAAAACATTATGTCCATGAACATGGTGGTTTGGAATCTTTGGTTTGATTAATTTGGGGTTGTTTGGAGCAGTTACGCACATTAAACAATTACCGACTTTCTTCACTCACAATTAAGAACCTTTTCTGTGCGGTGTAGATAATCGAGGGCCCTTGGATAATAGTCTTAGATATGCTAAATGATAAACTTCAGGTAACGATATTTCACATCAAAATGGATATGTAGCAATTGCTGATGTTAGGGTTCTGTATATTATTTTCTTACCCTTTCTCTGTCAACTTCTTTCTGCCGCTATATTCTCTACCCATCTCTGTACCCACCCCTCTATGTTTTTCTGTGTTTGTGTCAATGATCTACTGTCAGCTTTCAGCTTAGTGCCACACTACTGATCACAGAAGCTACCAGACAGTGAAATAAATGGAGCATTATTTTCTATATGTGGCCTGTGTACTTTTTTTTGTGTCTGCTGCCTGCTCATTCAGTACGTAACAGTCAATATTTCTGTCATCACCAAGCTTAACGAGACAGGACGCTGTTGTTATACTTCATGCCAATAAAATCACAAAGGTGCAGGCTAATTTGTCATTTCTAAAGTATTTTCGCCCATTTTTAACAACATTCTTGTAACAGTGACAAGATTAATGACATGGAGGTCTGGCTGGCTTCACAACATTACTCCCAAAACAGAGACAATAAAATAATCGTTTCTTTCACAATGAATGATGGTAACTCAGCATGATTGTAAGTGGACGAAGATAAATCAGCCTTTCATTTTTTTTAAGCACTATTATGGTCGACAATGGTTAGGCACAAAAAGTATGGGGACAAGTGAATATAGTATAGTTCAACCAGTTTGAGACAGACCTACTAGTAGTGACAGAAAACAAAGAAATGATAGATGACAGAACACAGCAGCAGATCATGCAGAAAGAGAATTTCTTTTTCTGCATGAGTTGGCAGAGCTGTAGGACAGAGTGCTTCTGAGGGTAGCGTTTGCCCTGTTGGTTATACAGTCTGACATCTACAAGACCCTGCTTTCATCCTCCTGCGCTGACTGGCAGGTTACATTAACAAATAAAAACTCTCCTCCCCTACATCTATAAAAAGATTGGTTCAAATAAAAGACGACCCTGAGTATGTGAGACCCTGGGCATTGTATGTGTTATTTGGACATGCAAAACGGGAAGCACTGGTTTGGGTGTTATTAGAAAATATCACAGGTTATGGGCAGGCAGGTCAAAAAGGGACAAAGTAGAGTACCAAGTAAGTAATTAATAACTTACTGATACATTGCGTGCATTTGTCCACCTTCCTTCTCTTTCCCCGTGTCTCAAATACAGCACACATAGCGCATGAGTTTGCTTGTGATTATCCTTGTCTTAGATCTGTGATATTATACTGTATAAAGTTGGCTGTTTGCAGGTAGGGTCAAAGCCCAAGGTAAGCAGGGCATTAATGCAAATCTTTGCAATGGCCAAACATTTTCATTTCATTGGGTCCAAAAATACATTTGTTTCCATTGACTTGCATAGGGAAAGATACGTCTGTAAATCAGCATGTATCTTGTACCGGGATCAACTTCATAAGGGTTTAAGGAAAATACAAATCTAACGGCCCAGATCCTCAGGACCTCAATTTCATCAGTGTTTTCTCTTTAATAAATGGTACTTATAACACAATGTGTAGTGTTGTGAAATGTAGTAAGTGAAAGGCAATAGATGATAATGAATACATAAGTGTACTCACTTCCTTGTTTACAGATTTCGAACAGTAGCTGAGAAGATTTGCCAAACTGATCTGATGAGTTAAGTGGAAGAAACATTCACTTCTTTCAATCATAAAGACTTGAGATGAGGTATGAGAATACACCCTGACAGAGGGATCAAATATCCATGTGATCATATGATTTGGGGTAATCACTGTTATATGAAGGGTCTTGGAAATGTTCTTTTTGAATAGTATGTCTCTCTACACTGACGTCAAGCAGTATGGGTCACACAAACCTGTTGCTATATTTATACATGCATTCACAAAAAAATGTAGCATTTTCAGGTGATTCAAGCAGACGGAGGAGCATGAATTTTAATTACACATGAATAATGTAGTCTCAATCTGCTTTCTCTTTATAGCGCACACAATCCTTATCTTTTTCAATTCATACTTAGGAAAAATCACTATGAGATGATAAGAATCAATTGACAGCCAGAGTTGGGATAAGAGTTTTCAGGAGACCACTACGAAGAAAGCAACTCCTGGAATTTGGTAGCATTTCAGGTTGGTATGAAACGTCTGAGCAGAACTTTGAATTAACATTCCCATCTCTGAGACTCAATCATCTGCTGCTGAGAGAAAGGAAGTCTCATCAAGATTACTACGGAGACGACTGTGCTTTGGAAAGAGAAGAGATTGACCTCGATCAACACATAAGTTTCACACGATTTTGAGGTCAGCAAAAAATGTGATGGCTTGATGGGGTAGGTCTATATATAGTGTATACATTTTATTGACAAGTGCAGGGGTTCCCAACCTTTATTGTGCCAAGGACAATGGGCTGGCTCCGGCCTATATAGCTGAACTGCTCCAGCGCTACACCCCAGCCAGAGCTTTAAGGTCTGCTGACCAGCTGCTGCTGGTAGTGCCCAAGACCAGGCTTAAAACCCGAGGGCACCGAGCCTTCGCAGCAGCTGGCCCTAGGCTCTGGAACACTCTGCCCCTCCATGTGAGGTCGGCCCAGACCCTAGGGGTTTTTAAATCTACTCTTAAAACACACTTCTTCTCTCTGGCCTTCTAGTTAGAGCGGAGCACGACTCCTGACTTTTCCCTGTTTTTTTATTTTTATTTTGTTTTTTATATATATCTGTTGTAATTTATTGTCGTTTATTGTGATTGTAGTAATGTGTTTTTATTACATGTACAGCACTTTGGCTCGACCAAAAATCGCTTTTAAATGTGCTATATAAATAAAACCTGATTTGATTTGATTTGGAAGGACCAGCAGATACATAAAAAGAAAATCGCCGACCGGTTGTCAATTTTAACTGATTTTAATATTTACTCACCAGCAGGTAGCAACAGAGACTAATTGTATGTAACAGCCTGAACAAATACTAGAACAATATGCATCCAAAACATATTAAGGTTTAAAAAAAAAAACGGAAAACCAAAAAATCAACGTTATTCAGTTTTTAAACCAAAACGGGAAAAACAGATAAATCAAGGTTTCGCCAGGGTGTGTGTGTGTGTGTGTGTGTGTGTGTGTGTGTGTGTGTGTGTGTGTGTGTGTTTAACACGTAGCAGCCTGCAGTCACTCTTAAGCTGTTCTGAATAAGATAGAGTGAGTGAAGGCGGTGCGTAAAAAGGCACAGCTCTCGGCGCGCTGGTGCTGCACTTCTCAGAGGCGGAGTTACACGTCCCGCTGCCTCCTGATGCTGCAGCCATTTCATGAAGTGAAGGAGGTTTTCCTTCTATAAAACAGCTGTGGGCAGCAGATACTGTGAGAGTCCCGGACATGAATTCATAGATCAAGGCAGACTGGTGCACACACTCTCCTGTTTTGCCAATCCGGTGCTTAAACAAATAGCTCTACACCCCTGGCCGACATGTCCTTAAAATGAAGTCCGAGTTTGAAATATATCTCAAATAATGTATGCACTGCCATTTCCCCACATAAACATAACAGTCTGCAATGAAACGGTTGTCTCCTGTGTGCTCCTCTTCCTGCTTGGCGCACCGGTAACTTTCTCGTGCGCACGAGAGGCTGAGACCTGAGTTGTTGAAATTAAATAAATGATTCTCTCTCTACTAGCTTGTTTAAAGTGAAGCTTTAGAAAGTTGCAAGTAAGATCAAATAAGGGAAGCTAGAAATACAGAAAAATAAATACAAAAATGTAGTAGGAGCAACAGCAACAGGCAAAATGCACATTCGGCGCATGCACTCTACAGTATATGCTTTTTTAACTAATCTTGTTTGTTTGTTGACTATGGTTGTGGGATTATGGTGATGAGCAATAGAAATACAACATTCCGGGTTTCCGCATCTTGGATTGTGCATTTATAGTGCTCCTCTCAATGGTCTGATCAACTCACTCACTCCACTCACTCACTCGAAATCTATTTTGTTCTAAATTGGATCAAATATGTTACTTTTATTAAAGCAAATATCACAAAATCCAATTTCCCTCCCAGGATTATGAAAGTATTCTGATTCTGTTTTTGATTCTCCACTGCCATGTTGAACCATCCTGTTACTACATAGACTTTAGTGAGTGCCTTTTGCATTTTGAGGTTCTCTAAAGGCCCTGTATGTTTTCCAACTCGGTCGTAAAGGGAAGGGGAGCTGAGGGGTATTCAGTTGGTTGCAAATAAATAAATAATACAAATGAATATGTTTTGGAAAAGAGGCAGCTATGAACAAATTAAAGTTTTAAAAATACACAAACCTGAAACGAGCATAACTGGTCCCTCAACCAGTAGCAGTTCTCAACCTAGGTGTCCCGATGGTTGTGGAGTACTTTTTACTCTTTAACACTAGAACCGCCAACGGGTCAATTTTACCCGCAGCTGTTTTTTGATTGTATGTAACTTTTTTTCAATAAAATATTAAAGTCTCCTAGTCCGTGACTTTTCCTGAAAGTGTGTTATGTAGCACCCACTGTTGTTAAAAATTGTCAATATGAAGTCAGATTGAAAAAATCGCCAAAGAAATTGCCATTTATACCTATATCCGCCAGCGGGTAATATTTACATCATAGAAAATGCAGCGTAAACATGACGTGTTACTATAGCAACGCCTTTTGTCTACTGCGGTTCCTTATAGATAGAGAGAGAGAGAGAGAGAGAGAGAGAGAGAGAGAGAGAGAGAGAGAGAGAGAGAGAGAGAGAGAGAGAGAGAGAGAGAGAGAGATAGATAGATAGATAGATATATTGATAGATAGATAGATAGATAGATAGAGAGAGAGAGATAGACAGATAGATAGATAGAGAGAGAGAGAGATAGACAGATAGATAGTTATAGATAGTGTAACATCTTGGAGAATACAAGATCTTGGATGACTGAGCTCACGTTGAGGACGTAATGCATGTGTGCAGGTTACGTGCCAGTTGAATAAAGATGGACACTCGGAATGAGAGAAGTAGTCTGCGTCGTCTGTTTATGTAGACAATTATATGTCCATAGAACAGAACATTACAGATAGATCGATAGATAGTTATAGATCAGGGGTCTCCAACCTTTCTTCATCTGAGAGCTACTTTGAAAAAATGAAAGTGGCCAAGAGCTACTTGCATCACATCGCTTACATTTATTCACATAGCCCTCATCAGTTGAATTAAGCTATACTTTTGTACACGTGTGAAATTGCAATACCTAAAGCTTATCAAAAATCTTAACTTCACATCAAGGTCCAAGAAAACGAAGATTTCTCACATATTATTATGGCCCACATAATAAGTACATCACTGAACATTCACATAAGTGTCCTTAATCACCACCTTACAAGCATTTCACTCTTTTGTTAGTGAGATGAATGGCACTGCATGCAGTCCACCATACAGGTGTCTGCTGGAGTGTACCCACTTAGGTTCACTCTAATAGAGTCATTTAAATGTCCATCAGTCAGTCTTGTTCTGTATTTAGATTTCATTCATGTCAGAAAAAGCTGCTTCACAAAGGTATGTAGAACAGAACCAAATAAAGCAGACATTTTCAGTGCTGCTTGGTAGGGCTGTGCAATTAATCGTATTTTAATCGCAATTACGATTTTGGCCTGCCACAATTACGAAAACAACATAATCGAATAAAACAATTATTTTGCTTTGCTAGGTTGTGACAGTGCACTGCAACATATTTGATCTAATTTATTTTGGTCTAATTTATTTGTATTTATCATATTTATATATGTTTAGTAGCTTGTGGAAGTGCGCTCCAAAATATTTGTTGATCTTGTTTATTGGTATTTACTATTTTGATATTATTTATTTAAATGTTAATATAAATGTATCATTTATTTATTGGTTTTTCAGTTGAATTATACGTTCAGGGTAATCAACAGTTAAAAAGATACTGTTCAAATTATTATTTGTATTTGTTTTAAAGTTCAATAAATGGATGTTTTCAAAGTCAATGAATAATCGTATTTAATAATCGTGATATCAATTATTGACCAAAATAATCGTGATTATGATTTTTGCCATAATCGCACAGCCCTACTGCTTGGTGAATGTTCTATAGTTTTCGGGGTCTACAAGGGTCCAGAAATGTTGTGAGTTTTGCTGAGATTTAAGCTGAACATTATTTTGGAGATCTCCACAGGATTGACACTGAACAGTTGTTCAGCCATCTTTTTCTTCTTCGTCTTGACATTAAATTATAAACCATAATAAATCAAGTGTATAGGTCTAGCCTCCCTATATCTGTGTTTGAAAATGGTTCCATCCTCAAAAACAAAAAACTAATACTTCTGCAGTCTAGCTGCAGCTTCTAGCTACGGTCTTCTGTTAAAAAAAAGACACTGAATGTCCTGAATGTGGCATCACACACATGACTTAAGTCTGAACACAGCAGACAACAGGAGTATTTACAACAGCATTATAAAAACAAAAATAGTGCATGTGGGTGCACACTTACATTCTCTGTCTTACTGTTACATAAATCCCATGAATGTATGAGATTAAGTTAGCTTCATCATATCTCAATCAGTGATTAATAAAGTTTCTATCGGGTCACTATCAGCCTGTCACTCATTATTTTCAGGGAGGGGGCGGGGTTTGGAGGAAGCTTTCCTCCTGCCTTCACAAACTTTACACAAGTATTTATCAACTGAAAATAGCAAGAGGATATTCATACTCTGCAATCCAAGACTTGATTAAATCCACCAAAAACCTGACATGACGATAACGAGTGTTTTTCAAAAAACACAAATCCCTCCCTGTGTGTCTCTGAGCCGCAGCGACAGGCCCTGATTCAGAGCGGGTCATTCTGCTGTTAGTTCTGGACTGGTGCTGGTGGAGAAAGCAGACTGCTCCGTGTGTGTTGTCGCTGTGCTGCTGTCACGTCTGTTCCTTGATCTCTGCGTCACCGACCATTTGATATTCGTGTGACAGAAAAAATTCTAAAATAAAAAAACGTTATTGTCTAGCCGAAACATCAATAAGCAACCTTACTACGCTATAATCGATAATCGAGCGGCGAGCTACTGAAAAGCTGCCCGCGAGCTACCGGTAGCTCGCGATCAACGTGTTGGAGAGCCCTGTTATAGATAGATAGAGAGAGAGATAGAGAGATTTGTACCTAAACAAAACACAAGTCTAACACCAAGCGTTTAAATCAGCACTGGTAGCGATATTTTATACTTCATGCTATCTGCACAAACTATATCATATGAAAAGCTGAGAGTCCACAGATTCTATTGGTATAAGTTTCATCCCTGTGCGATCAAAACTCACTGTTCTGCATGATAAATAAAAGAACATTGTACCTTGAAAATCAATAGCGGGTACATTTGACCCGTTGGCGGTTTTAGGTATACAGCGACCTCTGGCGGTTCTAGTGTTAATACAACATTGCCTGTACCAGTGATATAATTAGCCTTGAGGCACATGAGGGATTTATAGGGGTTCAGAGGGAGAGAATAGTAACAGACCGGTGGTACCATAAAGCAGCATACAACAGAAATACAGTGGATGTAATCAAGCATTGTGTGACTGCCGGTGAGGTCCAGTCCATTAGCAAAGACATGAGCACACACTGCAACCTTGTTATAAGAGCTGATACCATGATGTCTTCTGATCTCAAGCAGAAACAGTGAAACAACCAATAGTATCTGATTTCACATTACCAAAATGAGATGACTTCCTGCTATTCTTTCTCATGTTTGATTGTAAACTAAATATTATGGAAGTATTTGGAATGTTGGTTTAAAAAAAATGGAGGTTTCATAAACTGAACAACAATAATCGATTTGAAACATTACTGGCAGATTGATCATCTATAATGAAAATAATTAGCAGTAGCTACAGCCCTAACTGTTTTCATGTGAAAAGGAAGTCCTTAAAAGTCAATGAGCTCATCTTGAGAGAATTTGAGAGACCCAGTCCCAGATTAAGTTCATTAATCGGTGCTTTCTGAGAGGTGCAGAGCGACAGTGGAAGTGGAAGTGAAGTGGGCTGATCAATAAGGAATAGATTGGAGAGTTATCGTGGGCAAATTACAGTGGCGCTAATTGTGGTGTGAAAGTGACATTTAAAAAGGAACTTACTTTGACTTCTTCCTGTAGTTTCCCGAATCGAACTGTGCCTTTTAGAATCCTGCTGACGAATCCCTGTTTTTCCTGCTGAAGAAGCGAAGCCTGTGGAGGTAGAGAGGGAAGACGGGGGGTTACTGATCTAAGAGAGATACACGGGGGGACGTACAGTTGGATGAAGGATGTGAGGGATTAGGGGGAAAGGTGGATAAAGGAAAAGAAGACCGTTCAAACTATTGCCATATTACAGTATTACATTTTTTACCATTGCTAGCTAAAACATTTTTTTTTTGCTAAAGCCATTATCCAGAGCAACTTACATACACTTCAATAGAGTAGTGATGGAATGACGTATTTTTGTAGGTCGACCTGGAAGTTCGCATGGCAAGAGTTCTCTTGACTCAAAGCAATGGGAATCTTTTAGTGGATTTTGGAATATTGCAGAAAATAAGATCTGTGGCAAACTAACCATTTATTGAAGCGGCAATGCAATCACTAGATGTAGAAAGCTATGTCGGTAACAGAACTTATCCCACGCATCTCACTCAAAATGTTGAAAAAAACATACAAGGGAAATACAAGTACTAAAATGCGGACTCATTTCCAGGCTTATTCCTAAACTGTAGACATGCCTATGGGAGCAATTTATAGTTAAATATCTTGCCCAAGGATACATTGACATGCTGACTGTAGGATAGGGGATTCAACCACTGACCCTCTGATTGTCAGATCAAAGCATTTACCCCCAGAGCCAAAGCCCCTCCAGTCTGGAACATTAGGTGTGCAGACAAGACAAAAGAAAGATGCCTCAATGGTGAATGGTGCACGGACTGTGTCCTTATAAAATAAATTGGTTCAGTAGAGAGCTAGCTTTATCCAATACATTTTATTTTTGACATGTATTGATAGTTAGCCTTAGTATTGATAGATTATTAGCAGGATTGTTTAAGGCAAAACCTAAATCAAAAAGAAACAGGTTTTTTGTATTGCGCCTACAAGATGATGAGCTAAGTGTCTTTAATATTACCATAAATACAATTATCCTTGAGGTCACTGCAATTGCGATTAAATTGATCGGCCCATCATCTTTTGATCTGCTCATAAAAACCTCTCTACTGCTCTACTGACAACACAGCAGATAGCCGATCATAAGAGTACCTTCACTGACAGCAGGCATGCACACACACACCGTTATGGTCATCCTTTTCTCTTCCGGATGAATCGGCTCGTGTTAGCTTTAGAAGTGCTACCTCTCAAATGGTGTCAGTCTGACCTTCCACACAAGATGGGCTCTCTTTATTCCCTGAAAAGCCAGCTTTGGCAAACTCCCTGAATCTATTAACATTTACCGGAAAAACTTTCTCTGGTCCCCTGACACCCACTGAGCCAAAGACATACTTTACAGTTCTATTTGTTTCACATTACCTTTATTGCTGTTTTTATATCAACCAACATTGCAGATCACCTCTTCTACCATGTTTACATTTTAAATACAATTAACTAATGTAGTCAGGTATCAATGCTCTAAAATATGAAAGGTGCCATATTGCAACATAGGTCTTCTATTAGTCTATACCAGGGGTACTCAAATACAAATCTTAAAGGTCCAAAAAAATTGTTTCAATAAGACAAAGGTCCGTTTATTACGGTCATTCAAACTTTTAAACAATTGCAAAAAGATTCTTAACACGAGGTTGCAAAAACAAAAATAATCTGTATGCAGCAGTTTTCATTGTTATTGTGTCTGTGCTTGATCCGTCAGAGTCGCAGTGTAAGAGCTGCACAGTTATGAATAAAGGCAGCTGCACCCTCTTTCATTCAGCATTCCCATTATTGCTTTATAAATGTCTTGCCCCCTTGTGTGTCCACTGAGGTTCGTCAGGCCCAGCACATCTTCAACAAACTCCCCCTTTCATAAAAACTCACAAACACCAGCAACTGAGCATTGTCAGTGGTGTCAGTGGACTCATCCACAGCTAAGGAAATGCACTGTGCATTTTTTATTCCATCACAAAGCTGATTAATCAAATCACCAGCCAGTATTTATGTTCTTCTGGTTGCTGTGGAATCTGAGAGGGGGATTTGCTTGATTTGACCTGTTAATTCCTCTTTTTGTTTGCCTTCAAACATGGTCTCCATCACTTCAGTCATGCATTCTTTTATACTTCAGTTATTATCCAGTGGAATGTCCTTACCTACTGGCCTAGTTCAATCAAAGTGGTTACTTTTTTTTGGCTGGACAGTGGGCAGTGTAGTTTTACACACCGTCTTATTTGACTTCTCAGGACTTAAAACTGTTTTTTGGGGGCAGACCCCCACAAAGAAAAAAATATATTTACACACGTAAGGTCATCATCCTAACAGTTTTGTATGCTCATCCGTGAGCAGAGCATCAAGTTGACATGTCTATTACAGCTGAATGCGGCGATTACCATTTTGTTCAGCAAAACGCCTCACAAAATTAGTAAGATCCAAAGCTTTAGTGCGTTTTGATTCAATGCGGAGTACAGCCAAACTTGACAGTCTCTTCTCTGTCATTGTAGACCGCAAATACCTCATTCCTTCAGTACTTGGGTCCGAATGCTTCTCGTTTTGCGCCGTACGGTTCAAATGAAATCAGGGCCGGGGGAGGGGTTACAAGACGTGCGTCTTGTGCTGCATTCACTTGCACTCGGACATTAGAGACTTTCTCTCATAAATGTCCGATGAGCCACAACTTTTCTTTCAAAACAAAGCTGCCAACTGGGGTGGCAGCTGGGGTGGCAAGGCCTATTTTTAGTGTGGCAGTTGCCACCCCGGTAGGTGAAACTAGGCTACTAGCTACAGTACAGATGCAACTAGATGAGCTGTTCACTCTCGCTCTGACTTTTTTTTTTTAAACACACACGCATTTTTCCCACCCGCATTCCGCGAAGACCCGCCCTACTGTGCCTCTGATTCGCAGACTGTTGGTGGGGGGAAAAAACGCTGGCGGGATGCTGAATGTGATTGGACCAAAGCGTTGACAGACACACACAGACAGTGGAACAGTCTGACATGCAGAGCGCTGTTTGCAGTGGACATAGCGGAGAATGTTGACTCGTTGCGTTGTGGCGATGTCTCACAGATAACACAGATAATACAGATAATACATATGAAAAGTATAATTTGCTCAGAGTCCAGAGACAGTTGTGGTTCGGTCCGGATCCGGACCAGAGTCCGGACTTTGAGGATGCCTGGTCTATACAATACTCCACAATCATAAAAAAATATCTTTAAATTAGGGCTGCACAATTTGGAAAAAAATACCTACTTGCAATTTTAAATGATGTTGCAATCGTGATATGGTTTTACAATATTAAAGCGAATGACAAATTACTTTTCGTTGAACATAAGCTTCAAAATTAAAGTTTTTGGCAAATCCATCCGTTTCCCCTGTGCATTGCATTGTGGGACGGACAACAGCCTATACAAAATCAAGATTATTTATTTAACTGACATCTTTGAGACATATAGATTGTTATTTTTCAAGTGCAAGTCTGCCTTCTCAAAAGCTGGTTACAATGACAGTATGTGTCAAAGAGTTGGAACTCTATAATGAAGACACCGAGCCTTCCACACTTTGACAAATTAGATCAGATTTACAAACCCACTCTGCAGGGGAAGGTGGAGGCACAGGGAATCAATGCTGGTATCGACTAACAAAGTAAATGTCAGTCCGACTGATTCCAGAACACTGATTCCGCATCTTGTTCAAGTTCATAGCATTTAATAATTCAATGGGAGTTATTATTAAAGGGGCCCTAGTTTGCTCATTTACAGGTCCATTTGTGTTTTTTTCCCTCTACTGCGACATGTTTACATGCTTGCCTGTGCTGCAGCACCTCTTTTCCCCCTCTGTCTGAAACCAGAGCCCAGTCTACTCTGATTGGTTAGCTGGCCAGCTCTGTTTTCATTGGTCAACAACACCATAGCCTATCACGTACAATGTGTGGGATTTTAGCCTTTGCAGATCATTTACATGCACAAAAACCAATATAACACACTACAGGAAAGGACAAGCCCGAAAACCACAATAGGGCCCCTTTAAAGGGGACCTATCATGCAAAATGCACTTTTGTACGTCTTTTATACATGAATATGTGTCCCCGGTGTTCCAGGGAACTCACCAAGTGTCAGAAAACACAACCCTCTCTATTTTCCTCCATACCCAAATCTCTAAAAAAGGGGCTGCAACGGATCTGATAAAAACTGATCCAGATTTGAACACGTTACTGACGTCAGGACGGTGGCGCTACGGCTATTGGGCCAACTCTCCACCTATCAGGGGGATGTGGGGTTGGGCCACGGCCGGCCATTGCCGCTCGAAAGCGCTGGAGACGCTGTAGTACATATGCCAGGCCTGTAAGTGGCGCTGTAGTCTGCCACAAAAGCAGCGAAGAAGACTTCCCACGCATGGTTGCCATGGTTGCCCTTCTGTTTATTCTCCGCTGTGGCTTTCTTTCTCCCTCCCCGAGGCAAGCGTTTGCTCCTGCTGCTGTAATTCAATGCAATCCCTCCCCGTCGAGGCAAGCACTGTAATTCTCTCCGGTTAGTCCACCAGCAGATGACAAACACCCACCTCTCCGCCTCTTCCAAGGAACGAGGAGACCGTGCGGCAGAGTTTCAGTTTCAGTTTCTTTCGCCGGTCAAGATGTCCGTTAAAGTTTAAATCTTCCGGACAAAATTAGAAAAGTGCCGGTCAAAGGTCTTCTTTGTTATTTATTGAGCTTTAAAACAAATGAATAACGACTCTATATAATAATATAATAAAACACGCAGGACGGAGATCTCCCCCCTCTTCTGACAGCCCAGCAGCTGTTCAGAGCACGATCCCCTCTCCTGCAGGGGGGCGTGGTCAGCTGCAGCTCACAGAATCAGCCCCCTGCAAAAACAGGGCTGGAAAGAGCAAATGGAGCGAAATGAGGCATGGCTAAAATGCAGGATCTGTTTGGTATTTTGAAAAAAAAACTATATTTATATACGTTATATAGGTACGGCCCTACAACATATTGTTAAAATATAGCATGATAGGTGTCCTTTAAACAAATGTTAACCAGACATACTTTTTTCTTTCTACCAATCTATCCTGGATGGATGGGTGGAATAAATAAAGTCTCCCAAATGAAGAAATGGAAACACAATCCACTGCAACAGGTGGATTGACAGAGAGCCATAGAGAGAGGGGCAGCAGGAGAGTTGTGTTGACGCTAACACGGCTGATGTCTCTTTTATCTGAAGACAGTGGAGATGGTTGTGGATTTCAGGAAGAACACAGCCCCACCCGCCCCCATCACTCTGTGTGACTCCCCAGTAACTGCTGTGGAGTCTTTCCGCTTCCTGGGCACCATCATCGCCCAGGACCTCAAATGGGAGCAGAACATCTGCTCCCTCATCAAAAAAGCCCAGCAGAGGATGTTCTTCCTGAGACAGCTGAAGAAATTCAACCTGCCAAAGACAATGATAGTGAACTTCTACACCTCCATCATCAAGTCCATCCTCACCTCCTCCATCACCATCACCATCTGGTCATCATCCGCTCTGAAAAGAGGGTGATTGGCTGCAATCTGCCATCGCGCTAATACCTGAACGCCTCCAGAACCCTGAGGCTCCCACCCTGGACACAAACTGTTCACCCTCCTCCCTGCGCTCCAGCAGGACCAAAACCTCTCTCCACCTGAACAGTTTCTTCCCCTCCGCTACCGGCCTCATCAACAAGGCCCGGCCCCCCCCAATGACACTGACCCTCAGTCTCATCATAGACTCTATGCATTACATTAATGCACACAATGTTAACAATAACTTGTTCAACATTCCTGCACAACCCTCCGAAGTCTGCACATTGCACATTGTAACTGCACCTATTTTATTACATTTTATTTGTACAGGTATACCTATATTTAATCCATATTCAATGTAAATATTTCTATATTTTAATGTTATTCTAGTTTTCTTCAAATTGTTTTATCGCCGTTTTATATTTAGGTATGTATGTTTATGTATACACCAAAAACACCAAGACAAATTCCTCGAATGTGTTAACCTACTTGGCAATAAACCCGTTTCTGATGCTGAAGTAAATGCAGCTAAATGCCTTGTGTAAATGTCCCATCAATGTTTCTACTACTACACTGAAGTGACTTAGAATGTTTGCAGTTCATTTTAAATGTGTCGAAAATTGACAAAAAGCCTCAACTCTTCATCCTGTGATTGTTTATGGTAATAAGCTATTAATTATCACTAGTAATCATTAGTTAACATTGCTCCAAGTTTGTCGTTGTATATTATTAATCTTTCAGTTTACTGAGTAAATCATTTAACTCGCTCTATGTCTGTTAAGAGGTCATAGCAGGAGCAGCACAGGTGATAGAAACGATGGCTCAGTTCCACCAAAATGTCCTGGTGAGCCATGGCAGTGAGTCAGCATCAGAGTTGGGTGTAACGTGTTACTTTTATAATTCAGTAATCACACTACAGTTACTAACATTGCCCCGACACGCGTTACTTCGTTACTTTTATAAAATCAGTCATAATCACACTGACAGACAAGAGGGGTTTCCGCCGCAGGTTTATATGTACGTAATCTGCGCGACTCGCGCGTCCACATCTCCACGTGCAGTGCTGCATAAACATGGCAGAGTCAGCGATAACTTTCGAAGGGTGGAGGTATGCCCATTATTTTGAGTTCGTCCGAAGAATAGACAGGAATGTGACGGTGAGGTGCAAACTGTGTCCAGGCCAGAAGCTGTTACACTGCTGTAAACACCACGTCAAACCTCAACAAACACCTGCAAAGAACACATGCTAAGGTGAAGCTAATAGCTAAGGACCGGACCCCCGAACCCAGAGTGAGGATGTTGTGAGTCGCCGCCGCCGACTCCGAAGCAGCACAAATGAGAATTTGGAGGACCGGTAACCAAAGCAGAGATGGACAGGCTTGTAGCATCCTTCATAGTAGAGGTAATGTTGCCCATTTGCACAGTGGAATCACCATCGCATCGTTCAGAGATATACTGCGCAAAATACAGATAGCAGGAGACAGAGGACAGCCATAGTCAGAGCTATCTGGATCAGTCTTATGCGACAATGGAAACTGAACTAAAGAGAACATTTGAAACTTTAGCAGTCTGCGTGATCTGCCTGTAGGGAGGGGCGGGCCGGCCCTGCGAGTAAAGTAACGAGTAAAGTAACGAGTAAAGTAACGAGTTACTTTATGTAGAGAGTAACGAAGTAGTGTAATATATTACTTTTTTTTAAAGTAATATGTAATATGTAATATATTACTTTTTTTTAGTAACGACCCCATCTCTGGTCAGCATGCAGTTCACCATCATTATGGATCTGGCTCACAAAGATTGTGCCATTACAAGTCAACATGTCTGCAGTGTATGAAAAGGTATATTGCAGGCACCTCAGTAAATTCAGAGGAGTGTTTAATCAGTCACACTTATCCCATCGCCTGGGGTTATTTGCAGTATCTTCCCTGTATTTCATGGCTGACATGGAGAGTGGTCCTCAGGTGGCAGGGAAACTGCACCGCTGTGAAAAATGACACAAACAACTCCTGGCAAAAAAACAAAAGGTTCCCGAAGATCTGCCCTCTGTCATCAGCCACATGCTGCACGGCTGCTCTGTATTACTCAGCTGCTCCTCAGTATTTGTTCAGGGGAGCTTTATCGGGGGTTAGTCAGTTTGACAGATTCCTGCCTGCCGGTTTCTGTTCTGGGAGACTGCCAGCTGTGGTTGTTTTTCTAATCCTACCTGCTTTCACATTGGAACAAATTACCAAGTAAATTGCCTTTTAACCATACCTGAGATTTGGTGCCTGCATTTAAGTTGAATCATCTGTTGCAAACTACCTAAGCTAACAACAGCCTGAAGGGTTAGTAAACACTGCAAATCATGTCTAATTTGCAAAATAATTGTATTCACATATATAGGAGCAGAAGAGTAGAGTATGATACTTAAAAAATACATAAAAAAATACTTAATTGCAACTCATATATAGTATATACCATACTATGTTTATTTTGATATTTCAATTTGGTATTCCACTAGGTGGAAAGGTGTATAGTGGTCAAAGAAAGAACCTATTATTAAAGTGTATCAGAATCACAGGGCAGATAAACATTTATATTTGACTTTTATCAACATTTCAAGATAGGGCTTTTGTGCTGCTTATCCTGACTGGGAGAATTAACGCACCATCAAGTCAAGACACCTCTGAAGAAGATATCAAAGTGTTGTTTAAACGATATGAACACTAAAATACAGCACATCTTCTTTAGAGTTTTCATGTGTTTCCACAGTACGACGTAAAGCTCATGAAATAACACATTTGGAAGAATGGTTTGCATACTGTTATAGAGAGATAAAAAGGGATCAAATGTGTAGGCAGACCCGGATAGTATTGCAAGGGCTCCCTCGACAAAAAGGAAATGGAATTTTTCTTTGGATTATTACACAAAATAAGATCTCTGGCAAAAGCAAATGTAATATACTTGTGCATTCTGTTCAGCAGGAGAACCACCACATTTGAACACGACCTCTATAATAGTTGAAGAGTAAATGCAATAGCTAGAAACAAATAGCAGACGTTAGGCTATGATGGAACTGCTTCACGGCTGCATGACTTCATGTTCCCACCGCTAAAGGCGACCTGTGATCAGCCTGATGACGTCTATTAGTCTCATTTCGTCACTTGTTAGCAACAACCGTTTTTATGATACAGCTTCGTACATTCACCAGTGGGGTAGTTACCGATGTCGTAGAACAAAACGAGAAAATCCTGTAAGCTTTTGTTAACCACAGACTTTTTTTTAGGCATCTAACAAAAAACATGTTCAAAAAAATTGTTGACTTCGAGACGAGGGAACTGTGTAAATGCTAACTCATTTCCAGGTTTCAGGACTCATTCCTGCACCACTCTACACCCTCCGAGGAGTACGTGAAAGCACCATCGGCTTTGGCTTTTGACTCAAAGATGCTAACAAGTGACTATATAAGACTACTAACCATCAATTTACAAGTTTCACCAATGTAACTTGTAAATTGGAATAACTTGTTTATTTGATATATTTAGTGCATATCTTTTGCTGTAACAATGTACACTTCCCCCTCTGATTCTGATCACACCAAACATTAGCCGCCTTGAGCTTAGCGGTGGTGAGATGAAATCATGTGACAATGATGTAGTTTGTTTATAGCCTAACATTAGCTACTTATTGTGGTTATTACGCTTACAAAATAATAATGTGTCTTTTAGTATCATAAATGTTTCTATCTTGCAATTTTCCAAAATCCAATGGAAAAATGATATTGCTACCAAAAAACGTCATCACTGCTCCACTCAATAGGGTGTCAGTTGTAGTTGACATGTTATGCTATATGCTACCATATATGTACCATGTGATATAGAAGAAATATGAATACAGTATCAAGAATATCAGCAGTACCATCTTTATGAGTTGGTCTCTCTCCTGGGAAATGTGCTCGGCCACAGAAATGACAGCTCCCATGTAATGCTGAGTCCTTTCCTCTTTCACCACACACTCTTCCTTCTGTCTCTTCAATACACTCATCTTCCTCTCAGCCTTCCTGGATGATGGAGAGATAGGAGAGAGAAGAAGATAAATGAGTGAAAATGCATCAGGGGTTTTGGGAAAGAAACAGGACAGAATACAGAGTTGGGTGGATTATCTCTTGAGACGCTGCCATCTTGATGCGAGCGGGCTGCAGACATGTTGGTTAATCAAACACCTTGAGACAAGTTTCACACTTCAGAATGAGAAAGTCCACATGATGATCAGCTCAGGTCTATAGGGAGGTGCCGGAGAACAGAACTCATTTTAGGACAAATGTTATCCTGGACCAAAATAAATGGTCTAAACTATGGTAGGATGTGCAATGATGTTGAAGAGCCACTCTTAATTTTCAGGGATTGGTCAACTGCTTAGAGATGTCCCCCCCCTTTGCCTATCACGTACAGTGTGTTGGACCGCTAGGCTAGCCAATAGAAGCACAAGTGTTCCATAGTGATGTCACAATGTCACTGAAGAAATAAAGCCACAAATATGTTACCCGTTAGGCGAATCGTTAGGGCAAAAAAAAAGCTGTTTAACACTAGAACCGCCAACGGGTACATTTTACCCGCAGCTGTTTTTTTATTGTATGTAACTTTTTTTCAATAAAATATTAAAGTCTCCTAGTCCGTGACTTTTTCTGAAAGTGTGTTATGTAGCACACTCTGTTGTTAAAAATGGTCAATATGAAGTCAGATTGAAAAAATCGCCAAAATCATATGAAAAGCTGAGAGTCCACATATTCTATTGGTATAAGTTTCATCCCTGTGCGATCAAAACTCACTGTTCTGTATGATAAATAAAAGAACATTGTACCTTGAAAATCAATAGCGGGTACATTTTACCCGTTGGCGGTTTTAGGTATACAGCGACCTCTGGCGGTTCTAGTGTTAAATATACTGGGAAAATAAGATAACCAACCGGATGGCAAGTTCATTTATTGTCAATTGTTTATAAGAAGATGGGAAAGAAGAAGTGGAAAAAATAAGAAAGCATCAACCATTCCAAAATGGAAAACAATGACATATTAGTTAAACATTAAAAGGAACAATGACAGAAGATTGGAAACAAAGAGAAACAATTTCATGTAATATGGAGTACTCCGCATTCATTTAAAGTGTGTGTGTGTGTGTGTGTGTGTGTGTGTGTGTGTGTGTGTGTGTGTGGTGTGTGTGTGGGTGTGTGTGGTGTGTGTGTGTGTGTGTGTGTGTGTGTGTGTGTGTGTGTGTGTGTGTGTGTGTGTGTGTGTGTGTGTGTGTGTGTGTGTGTGTGTGTGTGTGTGTGTGTGTGTGTGTGTGTGTGTGTGTGTGTGTGTGTGTGTGTCTTTAGGGGTGGGGGCTGTTTATGTGTTGATTAGTATGTACGGGGCATGTGAGTAGGGATGCAATTATCCGCCATGACAACCGTTTATCAGCATTTTTTTAATTTTATTTTTGGGAAAAAATAAAAATAATGTAACATGTTAATAATATTGAATGTACGTTACTCAAACCCAGACTCATTCAGTAAAAACATAATAATGACCTGTTAGCTTGTTTGGTGAGCTCCTGCTCTGCCTCCATTCTCTTTACATCAGCAGTCAGATTGGCTTTGTCCACAGCCAGACTCCTATTCTCCTCTTGCAGACTGGACAATCTGATAAGAAAGTCGTCCATCTCACTCTTATTCTTACTCTCCTGCTGCTCCAGTTGTCTTGAGAGGTAAGGGCAAATTGTACAGCATATTTTAACAAAACATCACAGTGTACACTATTGAAATCAGTGCGTCCCATCACTATCAAATGCACAAGCCTACAGGGCTTTTCAATCCTGCTTACTCACATATTCATAATATGCAAGGCAAAGCAAGTTTATTCAAGCAGCATGTTTCAACACAAGACAATTCAAAGTGCTTCACAAAATATATTCGAACAAAGTGCATCAGAAATACATTGCAATGCTAATGTTCAGGTTCATATTTGTACCTCTACTGTGACATGTTTACATGCTTTAATGTTAAAAAATTGCTGTCATACTGCCTGTGCTGCACTGTGTGCTTTTCTTTTCAGTCGAGTGGGGGGGGGGGGGGGGGGGGAGAAACTGTACACCCTTGAACATACAGCAAGAGAGAATGTGTGTCACCTACTTAAAATATGTAGTTCTTCTCTTTTTTGTCCTTACTTCACGAAAAAACAGTGTCCCAGTTCATGAATCATTTAAAGAAAGACCTTTTTGATCAAATAAGACATTGTAGTGGTACCGTCTGAGTTTCCCAGCGATGCCGCAGTGTTCGTCCCAGGTGATGGCATCCTTCAGGCGGGCCTGCAGAACTTGTACCTCTCTCCCGTTTTTTAACGCCTCTCTCCTGCTCTCTTCCAGCTCTTCCTGCAAACTCTGCTTTTCTGCCTCTATCAACATCAGCTGCCTAGACACCTTGGAAACTACAGGGAGAGGGTAAAGAGATGGAGGAGTAAAGTAAATGAAAGTAACAGAAAAAAGCATAATGAAAATATGACGCATTGCTGTAGATGGAACTACTCAACTGTATATAAAAGAGTTTCAATCAGCACAACCTTCATTTCCTGTAGTGTGTTAAATAGCTTTTATTGCACGTAAATAGTCTGCAAAGACTAACATTCCAATGTTCCCTCCAGAGGCAGTTTATCTCCCACACACTCCCCCCCCCTGCCTGAAACGCCTCCATTGGACTCCTTTGTTTACTTCTGTAACAGTGACATCACTATTTAACACTTGTTCTTTATTGGCTAGCGCTCCAAAACATGGTACTTGATAGGCTAAGGGGTGGGACATCTCTACAAGGTTGACCAATCACAACAGAGCCGGCCAGCTAACCATACAGAGCAGACTGGGCTCTGGTTTCAGACAGAGGGTGAAAAGAGGTGCTGCAAAATTGTATCACCGTACTTTAAGGAAACAAACTATTGCACTTAAAATGTTCAATTAAAGAGGCCCTATTATGCTAATGTTCATGTTCATATATGTTGTGCCTCTACTGTGACATGTTTACGTGATTTCATGTTCAAAAAGGTCTTTATTTTTCTCATACTGATTGGTTGCTGGCCGGCTTAGCTGTGATTGGTCAACTACTTAGAGATGTCCCGAACCTCGTCTATTACGTACAATATGTTGGACTGCTAGGCAATAGAAGCGCGAATGTAACATAGTGATGTCATTATGTAACACAAGTAAACAAAGGAGTCCAATGGAAGCGTTTCAGGCAGCTGGGGGAGTGTGGGAGAGAAACTCCCTCTGGAGTTTGCTTAATGTTGATAACTTCAGGAACATCTGAAGATCAGTCTGAATTGATCAGTAAATGTCTATGAGTGATCTAAATCTGTTGTCCACAGCTCACAGTTTATTAAATGCAGGCATCTGACAGGACACCAGGCTGCTACACATTATCCCAACACAGAACCTGATATTCTGATGCTTATGCTGGAGACGTCAGATTTCATTTATCCTTTGCTCCACAGCCTCCTTTTCAAATTTAAAAGCAAAATCAGCGGGCCATTTTCATTCACTCTGGAAAGGCACATTTTAAGATATAAAGTAATTATTTATAGCATGAAAACGGTTTTGTTTGACTTGTTTCTATAATTGTTTGTAATTAACTTTACATATGAAAAACTAATCTGCCTTGCTTAGGGTTAGTCGTTGTACCTTCAGCCTGGTGTCTGCTGGTGCTGGCCTTGGCCTTTACGTGCTGAGCCTCCAGCTGATCCAGCAGAACCTGGTTCTCCTGCAGAACCAGGAGGGCCTGCTGTTGTATCTGATGACTGGAGAAAAAGAGAGCTTTTTAAAAAACTTAAAATAACTTAAAAACCAAAACATTGTCATACATATGACCTGTAATTCAATACTTTACAGACCACATAAAAAAAAAAACTTAAAAATATATATTCAATTCTTCTATATTGATGTTCTCTTCTATCCTTCTTCTATCCTCCGTTACAGGAAAGCATTATAATAAACACCAGACAGAGAGATAAAGAGAGTTTATGTCTATGTCTGGAAGCTGCTATAAAATTGCAAAATATTATATTATTATATTTTTTGTAAATTGGGTCTGTACAGAAAAGTGTGTAGCCTTGAGGCTTCATTCAAAACGTTGACATTCAAATTCTGATTCAATATTCAAAAGCTGCACAGCTTTTTCCTCTCTTTCTCTACATGAATCCGTGATCTCTGAATGAAATCAGAGAAAGCAGTAGCAGATACCAAACAATATTAAAACAGGTTCAAATAGAGGTGTGCAGTGATGACACATTTGTTTAGGCCGACCTGGAAGTTAGCATCAAAGCAATCCACTAAAAGCAATGGGGTTTTTCCATTGGATTTTGGAATATTGCGGAAAACAAGATCTATAGTATACAAATGTTTATGATACCATCACATTTAGTTGAGCAGGAACATCTTCACATAAAACACAACTCTACTAATTTTTAAAGCTTAAATGTAATTGCCAGAGGTAAAATCCTAACGTTAGGCTGTAAAGAAGCTACACTATGACCACATGGCTGTGCATCACCACCGCTAAAGGCAGCAAATATTTGTCATGATGACATTTAGTAGTCTTATTTAGTCTGTTTTTATGACACGCTTCTGACATTCACCGCTGGGGTACTCAAAGACACATTTTATGTCATATAAAAAAAGGTACACAATCTCTTTAGCTTTGTGTGACTCACAGACCTCATTTCCGGCATCTAACCAAAAACACGTTAAAAGAAAATAGACCTTTTAGAAGAGGGACCCCGAGAGCGGTAAAAGGCTAACTCGTGTCCTGGTTTTAAGACAGATTCCTGCACCACTCTATGTCTCTATATCTGACTTGATGGAGCTACTTACAAAGAGTAGATACTGCAAGTGTGTAGGTGTCAGCAACATTAAAAGCTAGAATGAATTAGTGATGGGAAGCTATAGGAGCGGAGAAGATGTAAATATATTTTTTACATATTCATATATCATCTTAGTAGGTGAATAGTGATGGCCTAGCATGTGCTGACATTGCTTAACTAATGCACATTGCATAGATGAATATCTTCTCACCAGTCCTTCTGGCTGACCCCTCCGATCTTTGTGATTTCCTTATGGAGCTTCTCATTTTCTTTGATCACCTCCTCCACATGAACACGCAACCTCTTCACGTCCTCCTGTGGGAAGCAGACGAAGACATATAAGGGCCTCTGAAAAGAAAATGTACTACACCACCTCTGCATAGGATTAACAAGTACAGTTAGATGCACCAGTGAAGCTAAGGACAACAAAGCTGGCTCACTTTTTTAACAGGTGTACATTACCATGGTAACCGTTGCTCAGGAGCAGCTCAACTTCATTGGATCCGATCAAAACATATCAACAGCTATTAACCTAACCCACTAATAATTTTACTTGGGAAAACATCAGAGGAAACAATAGATTCTTACTCTTTACTCCTTGTAATAGGAATAGCGGAAAAAGGACAAGGAGAATACAAAACCAAGTTCATATCTTTGATGAAAGATGGGAAAAATGTCAACACAAAACATAAATAATGACAGTGTGGTAAGACAGGGTTTCTCCTCTTTTACTGATTGTGGAATGTGTTATGTAGTTATTTGATGTATTTAGGGGTTCATTTTGTCATCTGTGTAAGACTTGACTAAAATAATTTCTTAAAATGCAAATAAAATAAACTGACCAATGCGCTCACACGAATAAATGCAGTCATCATTACATGATCCAGACAAGGCCACAAAGTGACAAGTAATACAGAGCAAAGAAGATTATAATAGATCACAGGATATCATTTGCTGTTTCAGGCTTTGTTACGGAAGCCATGAAAGTAAAGTAAGACAAATTATTCTGGTGATCAATGTGTATTTTTTTATTTGCAATTTGAATGTGATGGCAATATGTTTCTCTCCTGTGTTTATGGCGTAAGAGGTAAAAACAGGTTTTGCTTGGATAATGATTTAAATGATGTTCTCAATTACTGGCTGGGGGAATTTTCTTTTGGCCAAGAGGAAAAAGAGATAGTTTTTCTCAATTACTTTTTTTCATCAGTAAAACAGGGGATTATTTTGTTGTACAAACTGTATATTGTGTGTAAGTTATGGAACATTACTGTCATGTCCTTCTTATGGCAACACCTGTTTTTAATTGATATCCATATATGTACCTTGTGTTGGATCAATTGTATATCATTTGATCCTCTTTTTCCTACCCTTAAAAAAAGAATCCTAGTCATAAACACATCAAAGAGTACAATTAAGATCATTCTAAGAAAATGGATCGCAAAATAAACCATTTCCGCACTTGCCTCTCAAGGCTGTTTTTAAACAGAGTGAGCATCTAACAAGCAGAGTTTATGTCGCTTTAAATATAAGGACGATAATAGCTGCATTGTAATCGCATAACGTTTATTTTATTACCAAATTGATTCCTGACAATGTGATAACAATTATACCCATGGCTGTCTTTTACTAGAAAAACAATATCCATAATAAAATACACACACTGTTATATTGGGTTCTATATTTATAAAAGCAATTTTCTTTGGGAATATTAACCGTGTGTTGCCGGTTTTTCTTACATTAAACGTTTGCTGCTTATGTCTATGATAACCAGTGGCGTTTTTAGATGTACAAAACTGATGGGGCATGAACAACTTAGATATATATATATATATAGGCTTCTTGTGCTTTTTTAACACGTCAACAAATAGCTGTAGGCTATCCATGGTACCGAGGCAACAGCTAGTTGATCATCACATACAAAAAGAGAGAGAGGGGTGTGTGTGATTGTGTGAGAGAGAGAGATAGAGAGAGAGAGGGATGTGTGTGAGAGAGAGGGGAGCAACACATGACTACTGTCGGAAGCAGTGAATTAACACAGCGCAACACTGTCAGCTATACGCTGCTCTCTCTCGTCTCTTCACAACTACACTTTTCGCGGCACACGTACTTACCGCCAATCAGCTCTCTGAATTATGAGATGACGTTTTAGTGGGGCTGCGACCACTTTTTCCCACTTGTGATAATTTTTTTGCCGCACACATTGAATACAAAAATACTCTGAGCATGCGCAGTGTAGTTTTCACAGTACACGTTCATTTCTACAGAGAGAGAGGGGCAGATCGGAGCTTGCCCCACATCGCTCAACACGGCTCAATAGGCACACTGTGGACACTAATCAGAAGAACGCAGACTAAAACAGCAATGTAGAGACCACTAAACATGATCTTAAAATATATTTTAACATATATTTTAGAAATTATTATTTTAATTATTTTCTGCTGACCTGCCCCTAATGACGAGTCGCCAATGATGATAACATAAGAATGTTTCCTGAATGGTGAGAAAACAGAGGATTGAGGGAATAATAATAAATAACTTAAATATGTTCATACAATCTGTCAGATAGACTTTACCTCAGTGGTTTGCAGAAGTGCATCTTTCTCGCTCATCCTGTCCTCATAGGCCAGCAGCAGGGGAGATAAATACTTCATGTCGAGCTACAAACAGGGACAAAGAGTAATGAGCCACAATTAGCTACAACATCAAAGCCATGAATCTATTTCCATAAAGTGCTTATTTGAGGCAGGAAAATCACTTTTCAGCCCACCAGTCACAGTGGTTGGTAGATTTGACCTATACTGGGTGCAAATTGCTTCATTTTATTCATTTATTCGGCATGATTCCAGTCACTGTGGACACATAATGAACCTCCTGAACCCCTGCTTTTGTTTTCCGAAGGATAAAGCACACTCTTCCTTCTAAAAAGTGAATCTGGGCCAAACTACGATACCAGCTATGTATCATCATATTAATTATTTCCTGAAAATGTAACATCATAACTTTACCCGTACTGCAATACAATGTCCCCACTTATATCGCAGTAACCGAGCTGACGTCATGGGTGTCAAAACGGGCAAAACACAGCAAGAGCCAATGACAACACTTTTTACGGATGGTCGGTGCACAATCCAATACAAGATTAGAACTCTTACCATGGAGTAATCTGGTGGTGAAGTAGAGGAGCAGATTATGGTTACACAGATTTCCTCATAAAAACACAAAACCTCTGTTTATAACCTGTAGACTACCCCATTTGACATATTGTCTCTTCACTTGTTCCGTTCAAATACCTTACCAGTTTAAATAACATACCCACACTGTCCTGCTGTTATTACCATAGACCATTGTTTCTCAAAGGGTGGGGCCCGCCCCACTGGTGGGGCGCAGAGATGTGATAGGTGGGTCGCGAATGGACGCTATGAACGGGAGATTATTTTTTTATTAATCTTTTGGACCTCAGGCCGGAATCGAACCTGGGTCCTCGCGGGCGGTAGTGGACTGTTACAGCCGGAGACTCGCAACGGCGGTGGACTTTCACAGCACCGCTGCGCCGGAGCCGCCGGAGCCTCGCAACGGCAGGCGTTTGCGGCGGCGGAGGCGGTACCGACGCAGCGGCGCTGTGAAAGTCCATGGCCCACCAACGGCAGCAGCCCACCAACGGCAGCAGCCCACCAACGGCAGCGGCCCACCAACGGCAGCAGCCCACCAACGGCCCACCAACGGCCCACCAACGGCCCACCAACGGCAGCGGCCCACCGGGAAAAGTCCCGAATCTCCCGATGGCCAATCCGAGCCTGCTCACACACACACACACACACAACTGAAACCAAAATCATTTAGGCTACAAACATATGTACAAATCTCTCACACACACATATATGAAATCCAAAGTTATTCACATATAAATGTGAAACGCTCTCATATACACATGTGAAACACACTCACACACACACACATGAAATGCACTCATATAGGCTACACATATGAGATGCTCTCACACACACACACACGAAACACTCGTGCTTTTATTTATATGATTTTATTTGTTATTATTGACTGATGTTATTTCTTATTGATTTTATTTGTTATTATAGACTGATGTTATTTGTTATAAGATGTAGAACTTGACGTTATTTAAATAAATTGGAGAATTTTAACACAATTGCATAGTAGGCCCTTTTTCTATATTTTTGGAACACAGCCCATTTGAGGCAAGGATTGACACCATTGCACTTTTATTTTCTCTATTTCTGAACTCTTATTTGTTATTGATTTTCTCTGTTTTTGAACTGATGTTATTTGTTATAGATATATTGTTATATTGTTATAGAACGATAAATTTGACAATTTTAAGCTTGGCCTACCATTTTATTGGAGCGACGAGGGACAGGTGGGGCTTGAAAAGGCCCATCTGATCAAAGTGGGGAATGACAGAAAAAGTTTGAGAACCACTGCCATAGGCTGTACAGACTAAAGACTTATGAACTAACCACAGACAGTTGTCTAGTTCATGGAATGAGGGCAGTGCTCCGTAGCATTTAACGGCAGCTAGCCACAAATGGCTTTACAGGAGGGAAAACACCGAAATGGAGATTTGGCCCTAATTTGGCATTTGAATAATATATATGTTTAGTCCTGGGGGGCGTCTTGTACAGTTACAGGACAAACACTGTTTTTGTAAGTATTGATGAGTTAAGTTGGTAGGAGACATGTTAAGCTAGTTAACGCTGTCAGAAAACGTTCCGGTAATTTATTAAATTGCCCACTTGAATCATGTTTAACATGAGTCAATTCCAGAGACTAGAAACCACTCAACTCTGGGACAGTTTTATCCCACAGTCCATTAGACTTCTAAACACCTGAGCTTGCACTTTTTTTATTGATTGTTTTTGTGTTATTTCTTATTTATATTTATGTTGCATTGTTGGAGGAACCTGTGACCCAAGATTTGAATGCACAACTACACTGTAGCTGTGTATATGACATTAAAACCGTTGAACCTTGAGATGATAGTTTACACGATAATGTCATTCCTTTCATGCTGTTAATATATTTGTTTTGAAATGATATCGTAGCAGACAATAAGGACATAATTGACCATGGTCTGTGCTTAAACTCATACAATCAAATTGTGTGTCCTTTCTGTGATACTTTACCTTCACACTAACTCAGTAGCAGTTGGAAAGTGTCAGTGTGTTACTATGGAAACACAGTGTTGAGACTAATTTTTTTCAATGATTTTCTTGTAGAGTTATAGGTGGTAAATAAACGACAAACGCGTAGTGTAGTCAAAGTTTGTCTCGTTTGATTTTCCCAAAACGTACTTATAATGGATAATGATTATTGTTTTGTAAAAAGGGTGTGTGTTTACGGATATAGATACATTATAATAATGTAAGTGTTATTTAACCCTACTGAAAACATTCTCAGCTATTTATATTTGTATGAAGATAGCAGATGGCAGGCGCCAAAATATTTGGAGTGAAGTAAAAATTCCATAGGCACATGTGAAAGATGCCCTTACTTGTGGCGAACATTGCAACATCACTGAGAAACGCAGAACTATTTGATCAAACACTTCTTGCTCTAAAATATGAATTGATATAACTGTTCTGCTCCTGAACTGGGACACCGTTCTTTTGGAGAGTAAGAAGTTACAACAAAGAGAATAACTGAATATATATTATTTATATGGGTGTCACATTCTCACTTGCTGTATGTTAGAACGCTGCAAAGATGAAATGAACTAAAATTCACATCAAAGGTTAATGAAATGAACTATCGAGGGCAGTCCATTAGACCAGAGGTAATCCTAAATGAATAACCATCAGAAGATGACAAAGCAGCACAAGATGGCTACTGCAGGGCTAGCGATCCAGGCCAAACAGTCACTTCAATCTTATTGAAATGTTATTTTTTACATTTTTATTATCAAAATCAATATATACTCTTACTGTGTTAAAAGTCTCCTTTGCCTCGCCTGATGATGTTAAATATCTATATTCCGAAATGATTTCAAATCGGATTTGGAATGAACAAAAAGTTTGACCTTAAATATGTAATTCATTTAAACTAGAAACATTTGTACTACTACTCAATTTCACCCCCACGAATTGTGATAGTAAATCATTTCTGGGTATTTTTTTCACCACATCAGATTTCATCAGGGAAATTACCGCGCTTAGCTAAACTCCTGTTTAGACAATAAACCTGATTTAAATGTTATTAAAATATCTATCAGAATTAATTTTTTGTATTATTGGTCAAGGGAAGGTTTTACATCGGTTTTTACAAAATGTTTAATCAGGTTAAGTTTTCCTTTTGTATTACTTTTTCATTAAATGATTACAACATTGGTTTATAAAAGCCGTACAAAAACATTTTTCATATTAATTGATTGACCCCTAGTTAAAACTTAACAACCTGCACCATAGGTACTTATGACTTCCACCATGTGGACAGACTTTTAACTTGCATTTAGATATAGACATTCAAATATATTTATAATATTCAAAATTATTCATAGCTGTATAATTAACACAGTTTCACCTAATTCTTTTTTTTGTTATTTTATTATATACTGTTATTTAAATTCTTTATTTTTGTTTCTCCTTGTGTTAACTACTACCTGTACTATCCTGTGTTTGAATGTTATTCCTGTTGCTGCTTTAATACCTGAATTGCCCTATGGGGATCAATAGAGGTTTATCATATCTTTAATCAGATGTATGAGCTAAATGTGAATATGAACTAGCCATAGTGGACTACCACCCTGCCATAATAAAGTAATGTACTGTACAGCTACATAAAGTTACTGACCAGCCCGGGAGGAGGGGAGCCTGTCTTTGGTAAGCTGCTGATTCTGGAGCTCTGGATAAGAGACAGTAAGAGAGAGGAGGAAAAAAGTCATCATACCATTGGTTAATATGGCAGCTATAAATGTAGTCTTTCACACAAATTGAATATATATATATGAAAATGTGTTGATAGAACCAGAGGGTTAAGAAAGAAGAAAAAATGGGGAATAAAAAGAAAATGTGTGATCTATGGAGGCAGACAGTTCTGGCTCAGCCAATTAAACCCATTCAGACTCACCCCATTTCATATCGCTGCATCATAATACCATATACTTTCTCCCTAATCTTATCCGTTATATATTCCTTTCACCAGCCACACTTCAGCTGCAGTAATGAGGGCTGGCAGGCACATCAAGCGACAGCAGAAGCGACATGCTAGTGATTAGGGCAGGAGATGTCTTGGTGTGAACACACAGCGTAAGGTAGCCATGATCAAATAGCACAGGCCAGCTTTCTTCTGCCGTGTGTAACACACAACAACCCGAGCAGACACACAGCCAAGACAGGAAAAAGAAAGTCCTTTAGTGCAACAAATCAGTTGGAAGGACAGACAAAAAGGAACATGATTTCACTCTGTGGGGTGCATGTTGAAAAGGCAAATTTCTATCTTAAATTCTTGCTGTGAAAATAAAGTGCAGTGGAAATAGATTCAGTATAAAATCAAATTAGACTAAGGGAAGAGCTTTGCAGTACAGAACTAGAAGAGTACACTCAGTAAAGACAGGTGTTTCTTACTTTGGGACTTTAGATACACTTTTTACACACAAAAAACATTTTGAACTGTCTGCAAATCTAAATGTGCTTCTCTACTTTGTTATTATCTATAGTTGCTAATTAAAACACCATAAACATGTTGAGGAAGTAAAAAGCAATACATATTTTGAAAGGATACAGTTTAAGAAAGTGGTGGGTTTGAATCAAATCCTATATGACCATCACGCACATGTACACATCACCGCACGGCACAGCAGTGTAGGGGCGTTGGGCAGCTTCTATAGAGCGCCTGGGGAGCGGTGAGGGGGTCTGCTGCCTTGCTCCACTTTGGAGAGTACCAATACACCTTCCATTCTTGGTCTGAACCGGAGACCCTCCAGTTCCCAAGACAGGCTGAGCTTCAGCTGAGTATAACCGAGTTAAACTCAGTTAATTGCTCATGGCTGCCCCCAAAAGACAGCCATGAGCAATTTTAGCTTTTTAAGTGTAAATTAACCAAAAAACAAACGTTATGAAAATAAATATTCTTACACCTATTCTCCCTGTTTAAAAGTCAGCCAAACACTATTAATTCAATCTTAACAGAAACAAAATGAAAATGATTGAAAGCCCCTCTTTCCAGTGTTCCAACAATCACCAACTAAATAAACCTTTAGTGCGCAAGTTAGATGTGAAAATAATATGCAGAGTCTACAGGCTGCTTATCCCCGATTTCTTTCTCCATCTCCCCCCTGAGGACAGGCAATTTATTGCAATGATTAATCAAAATGGTTTAGTTCCATTAGCTGTTAGCCATTATTGGCGTGTTAAGTGTAGGGAGGAGTTAGCAGTCAACGATGGTATAGAACGGTCAATATATATATTTAGCAGCCATAAATGTGGGGCCTCTGTCCCTGCTGCTGAGAACTGGGGTTTGAATCCAACTCGGGGAACACTAACATGTGTCATCCAGTTGGTCTTAAAAATCTGTCCAATAAAAGCTTTAGTGGCCTAAAATTATATTTTTCAAATATATTTTTTGAGGCTGATCGGTCCAATAGTATGGGGGATTAATCTGAAACAGCACATAGATAGATACACACATGGCCGATTACAATATTTATGTCTGAGATAAAAAAAAAAAGATCATTCAATTATGGCTGGAGTGATAAAGGCTGATAAATAAAAGAGTCATACCTCCTGTTTGGACAACGGTCTGAACTGGGTTTGGTAGCGACTCAGCTCCACATTCAGGCGGTGAACTGTCAGTTTGAGGGCATCATTTTCATCCACCAGCTCCTGAGCGTGTTGCCTCAGATTCAGCAGCTCTGCATGGCTGCCTGTAAACAAAGAAAATCAGTTTAAAGGCTTCCATATTTTGGAAACAATAAATAACACATTCATATCTTCTGTTGAGGTTTTGGAATTAAGTTTTTAATATTTGTTATGTTTTATGATTGTATCATATTTTATTGTGGTGTATAAGTGTGATATATGGTGCTGTTAGATTGCTGCTAGACCAGCCCAGTAATACAGGTGCATTTGGCACTTTTTGGGATGAAGACTGTTTTTAGACCACTGTGAAAATGTTGTTTTTGAAAGTCTAACTCCAACAAATATAGGTTAAAGCAGAAAATATGGTTAGGCAAGAACATGTTTTGTATTTAGGAAATGATATGTGGTCAATAAAATGTGAACACAGCCCTATGGAGGCCAACAGGGGCAAATGCACTACAACAGCCCAAAACACTTCCATTAGGAGAAACACGCTTCACTTTAAAAAAACGATGTAGATATAAAAAGTTTAAACACAAATGTACCAAAACACATGCAAATCTAGAAACATCTTCATCAACTTGACAACACATGCACAGCATTTAGGAAACATTCAACAAATTGAACAAACCTGTGCAGCAAAGAAAACGTTTTTAAAAATAGATATATATATATATATTTTTTTTAATGCTGAAGGTGTTTTAATGCTGAAGGTGTTTTAATGCTGAAGGTGTTTTAATGCTGCAGGTGTTTTAATGCTGCAGGTGTTTTAATGCTGAAGGTGTTTTAATGCTGCAGGTGTTTTAATGCTGAAGGTGTTTTAATGCTGAAGGTGTTTTAATGCTGAAGGTGTTTTAATGCTGCAGGTGTTTTAATGCTGCAGGTGTTTTAATGCTGCAGGTGTTTTAATGCTGCAGGTGTTTTAATGCTGAAGGTGTTTTAATGCTGAAGGTGTTTTAATGCTGAAGGTGTTTTAATGCTGAAGGTGTTTTAATGCTGCAGGTGTTTTAATGCTGCAGGTGTTTTAATGCTGCAGGTGTTTTAATGCTGAAGGTGTTTTAATGCTGCAGGTGTTTTAATGCTGAAGGTGTTTTAATGCTGCAGGTGTTCAAAACACAACAAAAACGGGGACACTAGAAAGTGATGCACAGAGCTGGGACCGGAGTGCGTTTTGACGTTCAGGGATTATAAAGTTCCTGGCTGTTTTGTGTTTGCAGCTGTTTTTATTTGCATTGTTTCGTTAATGCTGCACTTTGAGTAAACGTTACGCAGTTGGTGAAGATGTTTCTTCATTTGCATGTGTTTTGGCACACGTGTTTTAATATTTGCATCTTTTTGAAAGCGTTTCTCTGCAACTATTTTGGGCCGTAACATGTTTGCCCCTGGTGGCCAACGTGCGGCTCTATACTTAGAGTTGGAAACAATCCTACAGAGCCACCACTGGGATACAACTCTACAAATAGTTAAATAACAATAATATATCTGAACCTGTGTAGAATAATGGGTTCGAAAATATCTCAAATCTGCAAATCATTTGAATGTTTATTAAGAATTTATGAATAAAGCTTCAAACTATTCTGTACAGCCCTAATCTTATTCTGAAAACCGAAAGTTAAATAGACAGCTCAAGAAAAATGAAGTAAGTCTTAAAAAACAACATTATTCTCAAACAGAAAAGTCACAGGCTTAGAGGCCTAACAATTGACATTACAAAAGCCGAATCATTATTCTAGTTTCAGGAGAAAGGAACAGAGCAGGCTGGTGAGATGCAGGATGCTTTGGTCTTTCTTCAACATGACTCCGACTCTCTATGTGGGCTGCTGGCTGACTCTGAACTTCAACAGAATTAACCCTTGGGGTCAAATAAAGACAACATAATTCATGCTTCCCTTGCTGAAAATGATTCTAGTACTTTTCCATGCTGCTCCTTTCTGCCAACCAGGAGGCAAGAGTCTCTCACCACCAAGTCCACCTGCTTCCCATTTTAATTTTTTATTTACTCCATTTGATGTTTTCCTTTTCATGTTTCTTTCTCATTCCTCCCTCCCTCCCTCTCTTCTTTTACTCATGCCGAGGAGTTGCTGTGGAGCTCAATGATCAGAGACATATTTACTCACCCCCTGCACATGCATCTGTTGTGACTCACTGCTTAATTCCTTCTCTCATTATCCCTTTCTCATCCCTATGTCACTTTATTGATCCCCCTTTTCCCCCACTCACTCTCGTCTCTCTCCAGCAGGTCCTCCACTCTACCTGCAGATGACCTTGCGTTGGTCGAGGATTGGCTGTTACTGATCTCTTGCTCCAGCCGCTGCAGCCGCTCCTCCAGCAGCTTTTGTTCATCTACCATTCTCATGTTGTTCTCTGGCGAGGCCCACGCTGCCTCCCGCTGCCCCTCGATGCTCGCCCTAATGGGCCCTGGAGACTGTTGGATGGGGGGTTTAGAGATGTTGGATTGGCTGGATTGGTTTGTGGTGGGGATGGGTAGCGCTGCTGTAAAAGGCAAGGTAAATACTTGTAATGGCAGTACATAAAACATTTAAATTGAATAAAATGTGAAAATGTAGTGCTTTCCTAAACTCTATTATATATAAGTGTTAAGGCATATTAGGTGCATTAATCTAATGCACATAAAACATCAACACACAACACAGCAAAGAAACTAATTTATTGTGCTTACATAAATATTTGTATTTATTTATTTTATTCCATTCTACAATGGAGCATCTGTGTGAAAGACAATTTCCGCAGGATAAATCAAATGAAATATAATAATTACAGAGCCAGGAGGCTCTAAGAGAAGAATTGAGAACATATCTCCTTTTTTTCTTCATACATGTGTTGAGAATTATAAAACAAAAATATCTATGTTTTCTCTGTATGTATGACTGTCATATGAGTTATGACAATTACAATATTTCCTCCATCGTCCAGCTCCATCATTCATTTTGTATACCTATAATGTCCCTAATATGCCACCGTATATATGACCAGCACGTAAACAGAGAAATATGATTGTGAAGCAAATAGCATATTAACCTGTTATATATTAAATAAGTCATTTCAAATTATTTGGGCAATAACATGGACTATATTAGGGGAATTAAGCTAGCAACTGTATTATAATATATCATATACAGGAGTTAAAATCAAACAAATAATGGGTATATGACAGAATACTTTTTAAATAGTGTCAGATAATTATTATCACAATAAGACAGAAAACAGAAACCCTAACCTACTGTTTGAATGTATGTATACAATTGTCCTAATTGCTACCAATCCCTTACTCTGAGAGACAAATATGCATCATGTCACTAGCATGCAGAGCACTCAAAAAAATCTAACAATAGACATTCATTAGATAAAGAACATAACACATGATTGCAACATGGTTACTAAAATGGAATATTCTTGCTTCTAGATGCTGTTTATGTAAAGTACAAAACATACATGCTATAGTTCCCATCAGAATGCATTGGTTTGTTGTGCTTTTCACTGATGTTTTATACCCAAAAAGCTGGCTTCATCACAGACAAATGAATAGTCCAAATAACGAGCAGACACACACACAGCAGTCTACTTTGCGACTTACACCTACATGGCACGTCTTTTTTCAAACTTCTTGGGCTTTTCCTGACAGAGGCTTTCTTCTTGGAGTAATCAACGCTGGCTTCTGGAGATTGGAAAACGGTTTCCTCAGGGAGATCTGAGGGATAGAATCATGCCATTATTAGTAAATGAACACAATTACAGACCTGTGTAGTGTTTTCTTTATTACTTTTTACTTGAATTGCATATTCTGTAATATTGTTTGAAGGTGACTTAGTCCATGGTTAAATGTATTGCTTTAGGTTTAGACACACAGCCAAACTGTATTTGGCTTCATAATTTAGTGATTAAAGTAGGAGCATTGTAAGAACACATAAAACATTTGAATTAGCAACCGTCACAAGCCTGAGGACAGCTCTGGTCATAACAACTATAATGAGGTTTTCCATGTATGATGTAAGGCTACATTATGTGTGTTGTGAAACTACATTTTGGTTGATTAAAAGCTCACATTTTGTGCTTCCCCTAGGGCTGAGGAGGAGTGTACCATTCTTTCTTTGTATGGGAGACATTTCTAAAATTAACTTGAATGTCTCTATGAGAAAATGACCCTTTCAAAACACCTCTGTTGATTAACTTTAATTGAGGTGTAAATCAAAAAAGTTATTAAAACAGAGTGTAATTCTGAAGAACACAATACACTAACACTCCCAACATAATTACATGTGATGGCCGCTTGTTTGACAGGTTTTCATAACGCATTTGCTCCTCTATTAGCGTTTATTCTGTAAGTTAACAATGTTCCCCTTACTCTACATAATACTGGAAGCTGGTAATAGATATTGCTTTGTATTTACTGACACCCAAGACAATATTGCTTGATGAAGTGAATGTTACCTCCCTGCCTTTACATTAGCAGTCACATCAGCTTAAATGGTTTTAGTGTAAATGTTTTATGTAAACTGAGAGTACCCTAATGGTTTAGAAAAGTCACTCTCTGTCAAAGACAATATGTTTGCTAGTGACTGGTTCTTAACGTCACTCAATCTAGTAACCATTAGCAGATATGGAAACTGGACAAAAACTACTGTATTGGGCTGTTTTGTATTTATTGTACAATATGTAGGCCAATTGTAAATAATCCACAATCAAATATGAATGGATAACACTATAGAGTAGGTGCAGGTATGACGTATTTTTGTAGGCCAACCAGTAAGTTAGCGATCCAAGGGCTCCCTGGACAAAAAAGCAATTGGATTTTTCCATTGGATTTTGCAGTATTCGCAAAATGTGCTTTGTGGCAAACACACGTTTACCTGTTTTTTTGACAAGTTTTGTACAATAATTTAGATATATTCACACTTTATGATTTTTGAAGCGTAAATGCAAAGTCAGAAGTGAAATGCTAATGTTAGGCTATAAACTAATTACATCACCATAACTGTGATGAAGTTTAGAAGTTTCCTTTAGTCACTTGTTAGCAGCAGACTGTTTTTATGACACGTAGAAGCTTAAGACATTCACGAGTGGGGTGTTTATTGACGTATTTTATGTCGTAGAATAAAACACGAAAATCTTTAAAGCTTGTGTTAACCACAGACCTTGTTTTAGAAATATAACCGCAAACATGTTCAAAAAAAACATCGACTTCAAGACAAGAGAGCCCTAAGTGCTAAAATGCTAACTCATTTTTGGTTTTTAAGGACTCATTCCTGTACCACTCTATACCCAGCATTTTGTCCTATTTAATTATGAGTTAGTTACTACTGTGTTCAAACACTTTTACCTGGAGAAGGCACTCTTCTGCCAGACATCGAAATCCGCTGCGGTGTACTAGTCTGAAAAAACAGACAGGCAGTCAGTCAGACAGATAGAGATTTCCAGAAGCCCTGTTGCCTGGATCCTTTTGTGCAAAGCTATTTTCGAGATCACTGCATTTATGCCTATTGTCAAGCTGTGGAAAAATGATATCTTGTCAGTGCGTTTATTATTGCGAGACACATTGTGAATGAGTCAGTCTTTACTAGAGGGAAGAGTCTCAGTTGAAACATAGCAAGAAAGCAGCAAAGAAAGCTTGAAAAGGAATAATGTGGCAGACTGAGGAATGATGGTTTGTTTTATACACTGAATTGCTCTATTGCGACAGTGGTGCAATAAATTGTACCTTCTTGAAGGTTAATCAGAGAGTTTTTGGTTCAAGGTCAATATGCAGGCTGCAGTTTGTGGTATTGCATCATAAAGAGGGTTATTTTTCTTCTCCGTTATATAGCCCAAACTTTAATGAAATAGACAACTGAGTGCATTCGTAGAAGAGCATTTAACCGTGAATGATAAAAAAGCCAGCTCGTTGATGTGGCTCTCTGTTACGGTGATTTATCCTCATATGAACCAGGGAAATATAGCCTGATGTTGATTATGGATCACATTTGCATGGGGGTACATATCTACTATATTGGCTTGTATAATTGGTTCTCACATGGGTAAGGGTATGGTACAAGGAAAAGAAACATATTGTCCTCAGAATTGCTTTAAGGTCTTCAGCTAACTGGTAAATAAAGTTAGACAGTGTGGACAAAACACTGACAAGGGAAAACAGAGCCCATTGAGACCAATATAGGTTAGCAACCCAGTGTATCAGTATACAGGACGTGGACATACTGTAAATAGTATAGAACAATATGCCAATGATTATGTCCCGAGAGTCTTAGAGAAACGTAGGTGGTTGGAGCAGAATCTAGGTGATTAAAACTAAGGCACACTTCCTCTTTCAGTGCAAGACATGGGCCGTTACAGTTTAAAATACTACATTGGGAACAATGGACACAAGAGTTATCAGGGCGATTTCCAGTCATAGATCCAGATTGTAAAATCTTTAGATCTATCAACATTTTGAAGCTCGTCCAAAGTTAAAATGTATTGGAGGTATACAGTATAAGAAGTGGACTATAATTTTTTAAGTTTGGCATTTTGGCTGTAGCTGTCGGTTTTTGGAACCAGAAGTAACACGAAAGGGGTGGAGCTAAGTACAACCAAACGTGCGAAACCAAACATCAACACTTTCATGAACTCAAAACACACAATGAAGGTATTAAAGGTCTCAGACAAAAACACAGACAACACCCAAACAGGACACAGCATTATTAGCAAACCTTCAATCAAAAGGCAGCCCCCTCCTAAAGCATATGATGCTTTTTTACTCTAAATTGGACCATAAGTAGCTAAATGAAAATACTTGAAACTAGTGAATGAGACCCTAAACTCATCAGGAAAATCTGTACTGAGCCAATACATCAAGTGAGAAGTAGAGTAATGTTCTCATTCGGGATGCCAGCGATTATTCGATTTTTCGAATATTCGTTACAGTCTCCATAATCGAATAATCGATTAATATTCGCCAGGGCTGTCCGATTTTCGAATTTGATCATGGTCAGTTTCTGGCATCCCTAGTTCTCATAGACTTCTATACAACCGGATTATTTTTGCAGAGGAGTTGACCGTTCAGTAAGGGCAGCAGAAGCTTAGTCCAAAAAGGACTTGGCTTGGGTATGGCAGGCAGGGTCCCTGGTTTAAGTCCAAGTCCAAGAATGAACACAAGACTACATTTGGTGTGTATGTTTGGACTACATTTGGTGTGTATGTAAAAGTACATGTGTGTGAATATTAAAGAGGTACTTACAGAAATCCTCCATTTCTGTGAGTCACTATGCAAGTCACTTCAGATAAAAGTGGTAGCTATAATGACATGTAATTTAATGTAATATACTGTAGTACGAATGCATTGGCTTCACTACTTAGACCTGGAGGTTGCCGCTTGATTGGACTGCTGTGGTTAAGATATTTTCAGAGGTGTTTCAAGTAAAAATAGACCCGTGCCCTATTATAACTGTTTTTGGAGTACTGTCTGATATCTAATACAACTTCCTGCGTGGCTTCTTGGCATTCTATACACCACTTGCATGTAATTTAAACTATTGAAATTTGGCAGATGCAATTCCTCAAACGCAGTGGATGAGGAATATTTAATATCATAACAAAAATGAAGGTTCATTTCTTTCTGAGATGCGAAGGAGAAGAGCTAGAATTACACGAGAACCTTTAATGCAAACCTGATTAGAGGATAACGGAACCGGTTAAATATCCTGCTCTAATAGACCCAGAGAATTAGGATTATCCCTTCTGAATTGTATATCTTATCTCGTATAATTTGTTTTCTTTGTCTTTCTATCTTATATTGGGAACTCTATTGCTATTATTTGAGTTTCATTGATTGTACCAACATTGTTACCGAAACAGAAAAGGTCAGAATATGTAGAATTGGTTCTTCCTCGCTGCTATTTAATTTAATTTGTTTATTTATCTATTTATAATTTGGGGACATATGTTCTTTATGGTTTTTTGTATGTTTTGCTCTTAATAAAAGCATTAAAGTTTTAAAAAATAAAGCATGTGAGAGCCGTCTCTTAGGACATAACCATTGTGATTTTTTGCAGAAATATAGAATTAGCAGATAAACAACATGCAAATAACTATGAGTGGGTAAAGAAAGACCTTTAAATTGAGTGGCTTGTTAGTAATAACCTGTTGTCAGTGACTACCATGAATCATCATTTCAAAGTCAGTTTCGTCCATTTTACAGATAGAAAAATACCAAAATGTCACCACATGATTTGCTGGTCACATGCAAACACTACAAAATGATGTTAAGTGGCAAATAAATTAAATAAAAAGCAAATGATGAAAACCTGCAATTATGATTCAGGAAGACATATAGGATATCTCAAACCTGCAAACTAATTACTTAAAATGAATTCTGAGCCTGTACAGTAAACAGTAAATTACAACTCACCACTACTCTACAGTAAAATATTACATTACCTTTTTTCTGTGTACAACTATGCCTCCCAGGGGTTCAAACGGGTATGACAATACCAACACATATAAACAAATTAAAGGATGAAGAGTTAACCCCTCTAAACACAAGCAGGTATTCTTACTGCAAAAAAGGCACAGGTGTAACTAATAACATTAACGATGTCTCAGTCTGCACACCTGCAACTCGTTATGCATGTCATTATCAAGTTATTGGTTCCCCCTGCGCTGTTCCTACTATGGTAGCCATAACACTGGTCAAGTCAAATAAGTGTTTACAAAGAACAATAGGCGCTTTCACACCGGAGTACTTTTCCCAGGAATAGTTCCGATAGTTCCTGGGATTTTGCGTTCACACCAAAACGATATGGAACTAGAACTTTTTTTTGCAAACCTTTTCACCCCTTTTTAGTCCCTGCTAGAGAGCAGGGACTTTCCTGGGGAGAAAAAAAAGTTCCAATTTCTGATTGGTTGGGCGGATTGCAAACCATGCCCCGTAAAACTCTGAAAAGATTTTGTGAAGCCGCCATTTTATTTGCTCGCATTAGCATTATCATTAGCCCAGTGCACCAACGGAGAGACACTAACTTATGGCAACACAAAAGAAAACATGGGAGCGGTGGAGTGATGAGGAGGTGCTGCTGGGAGTCCCAGCAGCTTCTACTGAAGCCAGTCCCCAACTCCGGGGACTTCCGGCCAGGGACTTCGGGTGGCAGTATACGCCGTGAAGTTGTTTGTGGCCTGCCAGTAAACCCAAAGCAGAAGAAGAAGAAGAAGAAGTGACGTCAGCGGCTCCCTCAGGGACTTATTCCGGTGTGAACGCAATTTACTAGATGGTTCCAGGAAATAAAAGTTCCGGGAACTATTCCTGGGAAAAGTACTTGGTGTGAAAGCGCCTAATAGGACTGTTCTGTATAATCTCACCTTGTGTTTTAGTGGCAGGGAATAGACAGGTTCTGTGAATGGACAATTATGCCCTTTGCCAAGAGTTTGGTAAACGTGTTCTTCCCGCTCATCTTCACTCCCCACCTGCTCTTCCTCGTCCTGCAACTCCTCTTCCTCGTCCTGCAACTCTTCTTCCTCTGATAGGTCAGGGGAGGAGAGGCGTGGTCGGCTAGCCAAATCTTCTGACCATCTGTCTCTGAAGGAGGTAAGAATAGATTGAATTCAATTCTGATATACTGCATATATTTTATTTTTCAGACTAATTTGTCATATGGTCCATCCATCCATCTATCTTCTTCCGCTTATCCGAGTCGGGAACATTTTTAAATGGTTTAATAATAATTCTATATTTACTTGTTTTTTACAAGTTAATTCCTCTTACTGTATTTATGTATACACTATTATACATCAAAGCAAGTTCATTGTATGTGTAACCCTACTTGGCAATTGAACCTTATTCTAATTCTGATTATTCAAATCTGAAGAAACAGGGATGCAAACTCATCAGGTATGAAAAAGGTGACAAGGATCCGAGCCCCCCGACCCCACGGAATATCGGCTTTAAAATGAGGAATAACAGAGGATTTTAGCAGTCAGAACAACTAAAGCAGCAGTTAATAATAACAGAAACGCCAAAGAGTCACATCTAATAGAAATATATTTAAGCATTTATTTTAATTGTGTAGCAGTCAGTTTATAATTTTGGCAGGACTGTTGAGTATTTTGAAAATGTATTTTCATGCCTCTGTGCAAGGCTGTCTTTCTATCTTTATAGCCAGTGGTATAAAGTAACTAAGTTCATAAACTCAAGTACTATACTTGGGTACAATTTTTAGATACTTGTACTTTATTTAAGTATTTCAATGTTTTGCTACTTTGTTCTTCTCCTCCTCTACAGTTCAGAGGTAAATGGTGTACTTTTACTCTACTACATGTATTTAATACCTTTAGTTACTTCACAGATGTGGATGAATGATGTGAAATATAATCAAGTGTTAAATCAGACTTTAGTTCCACCTGGAGTAAATTCACAAGCTACCCTGCAGTATACAAAGTCATTCAAACTAGCTGCACCTTTACCAGCTTTGAGAACACTTTCATGATCAATCATTATAAAACATATCATATATATTATTCTGAAATGGACCAATCTGCACAATGACTACTTTTGCTGTTGCTACTTTAACTATATTTTGATGATAATACTTTTCTACTTTTACTTGAGGAACATTTTGAATGCAGGACTTTTACTGTAACAGAGTATTCCTACACTCTGGTACTTCTACTTTTACTCAAGTACAAGATCTGAGTACTTCTACTTTTACTCAAGAACAAGATCTGAGTACTTCTACTTGTACTCAAGTACAAGACCTGAATACTTCAACTTTTACTCAAGAACAAGATCTGAGTACTTCTACTTTTACTCAAGTACAAGATACTTATACCACCTCCGTTTATAGGCTATGAAAGAAACTATTTGAAAACGAAGGCTAAAGCTAACGTTAGCAGATAGTGACAATGTATGCTAGTTAGCTAGCTCAACGATTCATTAAATAATATTGCGACAGAAACACTTTTCAGTGCACATCACGCTCTGCTGCTCCGAACACCCCGTTCTAACCAGCGGTCCAGTCTGTGCCACAGTGACTCCGGACCGCACAGTTAATATTAACGAACGCACCGTAGGTAATGTAGCTGCTGAAGCTAGATCCTCATCCCGGAGCAGCAGAGCCTTATTATACATCCATGAGCAGAGCTGACAGGCAGGAAGACTTGTGCTCGCGCGTCATTATAATATATAAAAAAAGAACACCATGCGCGTCATGATGGCACATAACAGCTCGCGGCCGCAGATTACTCCGGGTCCCAGACCCCCCCCCATACCCCAAAAATATTTTTATTGCAGATCTACATGAATCACACAAACGACCTATTTTGGAATCAAAACGGCAAATTTCGCCGAAAGGTGACAAGTTTGCATCCCTGAGAAAACCAGGCCTGTGTTTTGAAGATATTAGTAAGTCTAATGTCAAGGCATAATTATAAAAAAATGTTACATATCACATTTTAAACTTTTTCTTCTGCTCGACCTTAAAAGCATTTTGGCCCATTGTCTTATGTGACCCACATAAATACAGCCGTAGGTGATGTTGAGTCACCTCTTGTGGGTAGAATCATTATTCCCAAAGCTTGTGATAATACTGGTGTATTTGTCAGAGGGAGTTCACCTGTTGAAAAGTCCTGTGCTGATGTTTGGTTCAGATATGAAGGACTCTGATAGGCCGCTCTCAGAGAAAGACCTCGGCCGGACAGGGGGAAGGGCCCACGCCTGTCCAGTGAGCGAAGAAGACAAGATGGCTGCTGCTAAGGCTGATCTGTTGATGTAAAGACATGATTAAAATAAGGAAAGACATATGCTTTGAGTAATATAAGCACACAAAATGCTGTTCTTGTTATATAAAATATCTTTCCTTTTTCCTAATTGAGTTTGAAGGTATTGCCTTAAATTCACCATTAAGAGCTAACAAATGCTACTCTTGGAAAATATTGCCCATTAGTTGCCCCAAAAGACACTGCTTTCACAGGCTGTGGAGACACATTTACTCAAATAACATATGTAAAAAACAATTTCGAGGTACGTAGAACTTGAGTATTTCCATTTTCAGCTATTTTGTAATTCAACTCCACAACATTTCAGAGAAAAAGTTTACTTTAAATTCTAACCGATTTAGCTGTCAGCTTTATTGACTTTGCAGATTCTGATTAATAATATAAAATATAACCAACAAACAAATAAAGATGTCATTTTATGGTATAAGATATAATAATTCCTGGGGGGGGGGATTCACAAGCTACCCAGCAGTATTTAAAATAAATATTTATTAACTTGTAGTTTACTCTAGTCATTTTAACACATGAACACACTTTTACAGAATTATTTTTAAAGTATGTCTACACTATTACAACATTTACTAAAGTGAAAGTTGTGATTACTTATTTTACCACTGTTTATGGGGGGGATAAAGAGAGGAGAGTGAATCTGTATTTTCTTTGAATTCACTAAGGAAATAACTTTTTACTAATGCATACAAGGATGTGCTTTGGACCAAAGGAAGGAATTGTCAATACAAGAGGATGTTATTGGTTGGAGGTGTGGGGTACCTGGGTCTCTCAGGTGAGGGGTTTGGGCTGCGGGGGGGCGGGGTACGAGGCACAGCAGGCTTGGGGGCGATGGAGGCAGCAGGGATCAAACCATGAGCTATATGCTTCTACACAACACACAAGGGGGAGGTTAGGAAGAGGGTTAGCATCACATAGACACATTATCACACACTATGTGGGTCATATGGTTGACATAGTGTCACACCAACACTGAGGAAAAAACAATAGGGAAACACAAGAAGGCCATAGGGATGGAAAGGAAAGGGTAGAGAAACAGCATGACCACTTGAGATAGCAAACCCTGACCTACTCAGACAACAGGCAGTTACAGCAGTGGGCTTTCCCTACTAGAAATCCACTGTTGTTATGAATTGGTCACAATATGTACTTTGACTGCCACTATAACAGCAAAGCTGTTAATGAACAATGAATGCCTCAGTTTAATCACTGTTTTGAGCATGAACATGAATATCGTTGCCACACAATTTATTAACGTTACAAAAACTGGCGTTAGCAAATGTTAGCTTGAACAGTTCTGACATATATCACTTTCGCTAACGTTTTACGAACGTAAAGTTATCTAACGCCAGGTTAATGCATGTTAGCTTAATGATTAAAAAAAACTAAAAAACATGCAAGATATACGTTTAGCTAGCTAGAAGTAGGACACGGTTAATTAGTTTTAAAAAATACGTCAAACTTACAAACTCCTTGTCTTTCTCCCTCCTGAAACTGAATTTGAACATAGTGGAAAATACGTTTTTGACCCTTTCCTTCAACGGCTTAAGTTTCAGTTTAAGCGAACGGCTCGACTCGTGTACCAAACATTATTTCAGCCAAATGGCATTAGAAAGTTGTGCTTGTCATTATCACGTGTGTCTAATGTTCTCAAATGTTACGCTTTGGGCTAAAACCTTAATAGAAATGAGCACGCGAGGTCTCTGCATTCAACAACCTGCAGATTTCTGGTATCTAGACGCTTCGTCTCAAGAATGCACCTGGCTATAAAAGTAGTGCTGATTGGCTAAGAGCGAAAAGAGAAGCCAATCAGTGACTGGTATGTTTCACATAGCAACGAGGTCCTTACCGACTGTTGTCAAGCCAATAGGGGGCGACGTCGTTCCATGTGCTGATCAACTGTCACACCAGTAGCACAGAGCTGCTGAGTCGAACAAAGACGTTCATCCTTTTTGTGTCGATAAATCAAATGTATGTGTAACCCCGGTGTAGTGTCCCCTCGGCAACAGACCACTCAGAGCTGGTGATTACTTCAGTTTATTTCCCTGCGTTTCAATGGACACATACAAAGAACACGTGAACGGCGTTTCTCAACAGATCCTCACGTGCTATCAAAATCTCCTTTACAAAATAAGTGTCCAATAATCAACAACACATCAATGATATAGTGGTAGTATTTTCATAAACAATGTGAAACATTAAACATAACAAACTGGTGTACAAAACTCACATACCTGCGTTTCAATGGACACATATAAAGAACACGTGAGCTGCGTTCTGTAGGAGAGATAGCACCATGCTCACGTTAGCCTATTAGCTCAAATTAGCCTAAACCTTGTCCCTCATGCTAGCCCTGACAACACCGGTAAGCACACCTTCATCTAGGCTGCACTGTTGTACGTGTCCTGACTTGTAGTGGTTCTCTACTCTATCTACACTCTTCTTGTCATCTTTGTAAAACAATATCAGACTGGTATTTGGCACAGCCATGACTTCTAGTTAAATTCAGTGTGGCTAAAATGAAAAGCTTTGTTAAAATATGCACGCGCGCGAAAGTCAGTTGAAACATCTTAAGTAGGCGTGACGTTGAAGTGTGCGACCCTGCTGTTCTTGTTTGTAGTTCGTTTATAGCATAACGTTAGCATTTTGCTTCTGGCGACTAGATTTATGATTAAAAAATTATAAAAGTAGGGTAGACATGTGGAGATTATCCGGCTGAACAAAACGTGATCCCTCTCTTAAATGTGTGTCAACCACAGACCTTATTTCGAGCCATTTTCCAAAATCCTATGGAGAAATTGCATTGCATTTTTTTCGAAGGAACCGGATGAAGTTTACTTCTGGGTTTTAGGATGCGTCACTGCGGTTCTCTATAGAGTGGCGAAGTCACGCCCATCTACTTCCGACCCATGGGACCTTATTTCGGAAAAATAATGTATAGAGTGGCGAAGTCACGCCCATCTACTTCCGCCCCATGGGACCTTATTTCGGAAAAATAATGTATTGAAGTCAATGGAGAGAAAAAACTTATCTTTCGATCCCGTTTGAATTGTGCCATGAATTACACATATGATGTTTGTCAATCTTAAAAAATAATTTCCATGTCAAAAAAGTCACAGTTTGTCGTAAAACTGTTGAAATATAAGACTATGAAAAATACGTAACTAGAAAGACTACAAATCCCAGAGTCGCGTAAGTGATGTCACAATTGTTTTCCTCCATTAAGATCTAAGATCAGCGCCATATAGATATAATCTATCTATATGGCGCTGGCTAAGATAAGATAACTTTAACAAGATGCCTGTGTGCTTAGTACCAGGTTGTTATTATACCAGCAATGGGTCTTGCTCGTTCTTTCGCTTCCCGTCTGATGAAAGGACCAGGAGTACTCTGGATCATGCTAGCTAGTAGCTAGCACGTTAGTTAGCATTACAGCCTTGTCATTTTTATTAGCCTTAACATGAAGTAACATTAAGTAACCCAAAATGTTAAACAGTAAGAGTAGTATTCATATTTCGTGAACCCTTTGAAGAGTACTGTCACCGGTGTGATCATTCTATAATACACAATTTAAGCCCGGGGGAGAAATGCTAACGCTAACGCTAGCGATCTTCTCTACTTCATGCTATCTGCACAAATGGTTGACATTAAACATTAAAACGACCAGGCAGTTCAGAGAGAATCAAAGGAAGGCAGGCAGGCAGCTTTGCATGACATTCTTCAGGACGTGTTTCATTGTGGTGATAGTGAGGGTAGTCAATCGTTTTGTTGACAAGACAGTAGTGACGGCCATCTTGGTGACGTGTGTTGTTGACCAGAGATGTAGTTCATTGAGCGTTTCACACAAACAAATGTGTTACTTCACAGTTTTACGACACATTTTTTTTTTTTTTGACTTGCAAAATTATCTTTTAAATTGACAAACATCATATGTGTAATTCGTGGCACAATTCAAACGGGATCGAAAGATAATCTTTCTCTCTCCATTGACTTCAATACATAATTTTTCCGAAATAAGGTCCCATGGAGGTCCACCGGAAGGGGAGGGACTTCGCCACTCTATAGAGTGGTGATGGAATTACGTATTTTTGTAGGCCGACCTGGAAGTTAGCATGGCGAGAGTTCTCTTGACTAAAAGCAATGGGAATCTTTTAGTGGATTTTGGAATATTGCAGAAAATAAGATCTGTGGCAAACTAACCATCCAACCCAGTCTCACGGCATTTCGTGTTATTAGTCACGAAATTAATTTAATCTATTGATTCGTGTTCACCAACACGATTTTCACCTTTTTTTCGTGTCACATAGAACGATTTTAAATGCAATGTATTTCTATTGGTAGTATGTTTCGTGCCTGCAACACGTCTTTTTGTCCAGTCGGGTCTTGGAAGACCAGAAGCTGTGTGGTTCATAAAAACATGTTCTTACTCAATATCTTACCCTAAGCCTAACCCTATCCCTTTTATTTGAAATTGTATAATGTCTGAGTTTTTTTGCCGTCAGTGAGGAAAAGAAATGGGGCTCAGAGCCTCAGAATACTGAAATCTGTATTTTATGTCATCTTTATTTCCTTCTAATTTGTTATTATTTGGTGCAGGCACGAAACATACTACCAATATAAATACATTGCTTCTAAAATCGTTCTGTGTCAGAATACTTAAATCTGTATTTTTTTAAATGTCTTTTTCCTTCTAATTTGTTATTATTTACATTGCTTTTAAAATCGTTCTGTGTGACACGAAAAAAATGGCGAAATCGTGTTGGTGAACACGAATCAATAGATTAATTTCGTGACTATAACACGAAATGCCGTGAGACTGTGTTGAACCATCTCATTGGTTTTTGACGAAGGAACCGGAAGAAGTTTACTTCCGGGTTTTAGGACGCGTCACTGCGGTTCTCTATTTAACCCGGATTTTACACCAATCTTTATGCGGCTTTCACACCAGCGCTTTTCCCTTTCTAGCTCCTAGCTAGAGCTTTTCTGGTTCAGCTCCGGGTTCTCTTTTCTGCTCCCGCTCTGTTCACACCGCCCAGAGCTGCCACTGCTGCGTCATGACGTCACCGTTTACATCGCTGATTTTCTCCCCAACGGAGCTCACAACAACAACAACAACGGGGGACTGCGTCGGGTCGATGATCGTGTTGCTTTTAATCATACGAAGCCAGATTAAATTAAATAACGACTTCTCCAACCTTATACTTTTCTCCAGAGTGCCGTGGTTCATTGTTTATTAATGTGTTTCAGCGGCATTTACCGACCGCTGCAGTGCTGGCTGCTCTTCCACGGGAGTTTATTCTCCCGTTAGCTCCGGGTTAGCTCACACGGCTCTAAAGTATTCACTGTCTGACTGTCACACAAGCAGCTGATACATATCCCCAGTTCCCCTTAAGTGAATGTGTGTCAGTCTGAATTGACGCTGTTTGGCATCACAACGCTGTTATGAAAGTTTCTCTGGTATAACATGGGTGATGTTAGCATAGCAACCGAAGCTAAACTGACTACTTGCTTAGCCGTTTTCTACAGGCACATTTTACCGGCGTATTTTTCATTATGATTCTACTTGTGATAGTCGGACATGACAACCTGTGCAGCCCATGTATTGATTCCATCCGATAGCTGCTATAATAACAAACAAAACGTCTGCCTGCTCTCCACAATGATCAATAACAGCGAACGGATGGTCAAAGTAAGGTACAAATAAACAGAATCACACGAAGCCTGGTTAGTGTTGCCTGACTTTATAAAGTGTGTTTTTTTTTATAAGTGTGTGGTTGCCTTCTAGTCACTTTGCTCAGCGCTACTGCTTGTAGGCAGGCATGACGAGACTCTTCAGTCGACCCATGTTCAGGTTAGGTGGGTTTAGTTTCCTGCACGCCTCGACGTAAGAGAGACGCAAGCGACGCCGCCTCTAGCTCTGAAGCTCTTGCCTCTAGACCGTCAATTTTTTGGAGCTGGAATTGAACCGCATTCCGGAGCTATGAGGGGCGCCGCTGCGGTGTGAACAGGAAAAACCGGTACTTGTCCGAGCCGGAGCTGAAAAAGCGCCCATCTGTTACATATGCATACAAAATATATAGCATGTAATGTGTACACTAAAATAATATATTAGTTTTACCTAGATGCATATCTTACATGACAGACCATTCAAATGTGTCTTCAATCCAATACAATTTCTTCAACAATTTGTGCACAAAAGGAACATGATTAAAGGAAACTGACAGATTTGTTTTCGGCAAGTAGCCTAACCAACTAACCTTTGACAATTTTAGAGTACATGAAAAATCAAGCTTTTATCAATAGTGGAGAAAAACTCGAACCTGACATCAGTTTTTTTACACTGCATTATGTGTGCATAATTTATATAATCATCTTGTGACTAGTTCATAGATAGGCCTAATAAGTCAGCTAGACTAGACTGCTATTTGTAGTTTCTGCAAGTTATATTTTCAAAGAATATTTAGCCTTTTCTTTCAGATGTGTGCATTGACAATTCTAGCGAACCCTTCACAATTTCCCTTTTCGAGCATAAATGGGTCTATATTACTGCAACACTTCACATAATACCTTCCCATGAATGTTCAGTCCTTTGGCAATAAATCAGCTGAAAATGTGTTATTATCAAGGCCTGCTCTTTGCCCTTAGGATTGGTAAAAGTATGAATCCTATAACGAGAAAGTCAACAGATTTGGTTTCTGCAACATCAACGTTTTCTGTTCAAATAAACCCT